ATAGGTCCAACCTGTCACTGAAAACTGTTAAAGTGCAAAGAGTATCTATTTGTTACATCTTTATGCTTATTTTTGATATCTTGAGTAAAGATAAGGCATTTGTGGTAATTTCTATTTAGAATTACTTTTTTTTAATCAGTAAAGTTACAAGCAAAATTTGGTGAGTTAAATTACCCCTCTTTTCTTTGTTTGAATGAATTGTAGGGGATCAAAATTAATTATGGAAAAGTTGATATTTGTGATAACTACCAGTATGTAACTGTGTAATTATTTTATTGGCCAAATTCTTTGTCGACATTATGGTGTCAATTAAATGAAAAATAGTAAACTTTCCTACATATTTACTGCTTTGTGACGTGGATCAAATTGTGCAATTAAGTGCTCGTTGTAGAATGTTTGCATATATGTATAATATTTATTCAAGTTCAACCATAGAACATTGTCATGATCAGCCGGATTACATTTTTATGATTCTTGAATCAAGTATTCCCAACTCTAATTTAAATACATGGATGACCAACACATAGTTATGTCTAGGGTTAGGATTAGGTTTTGGTATAATATTAAGGTTAGCTTTAGACAAGTGTTTGGAAATATTATAGCTTCTTTGGTGAGTCTTTGGTCAACCAACATTATTATTTTAAAAAATTAATATGAATTATAACCTACATTTACTCTAACTTCACATTTACATATTAATTGCTGTCTTCATGTAGACATTAATATTGCTTACTTATATACCGGTAGACTTAATCTGGAAGAACAAAAAAAGAAACCTGGGTAGCGTTTCATGAAACAATTAGTCGGCGGTTTTCACCAACTAATATCATGTTCACCGACAATTCTTTTGTCACCGACTATTTTCCAGGCCTGTGATTGGTCAAATTTAGCCGGCGCTGACTAAATTGGCGGTGAACATGATATTAGTCGGTGAAAACCACCGACTGATTGTTTCATGAAACGCCCCCCAGATTTGGAATATCTGTAATGTGTTCACTCAACAGTAATATGAATTCATTATTAAATTTTGGATGGCCGTCAATTGTTTCTTGTAGAAGACTATTCTTACTTTGTTCTACAAATCCATCAAGTTAAGTTGTGTTGTCTGGTACGGGGGTGTAGAAAGAAGGACTTTGGCAAAATCCAGAGAATCACCAAAAAGCAGCGAAGATCATGAGTGAAATTCAAAATTTGAACGAAACATGCGAATCCAAAATAATTCTAGCAGTAAAACAAATTATGAAAAACAAGAATCATCTACTCGTAAACAACTTCGTTCAATGAACTGTCGCACTCAATGGTTACTAAATTCCTTCATTCCTTTATCTATCCTCAAATACAATCGAAATGTTACCTACATTTTGCTTTCTAATTTCTGTAATTTTATGTTGCAAACTTTCCGGGCCATCCCGGTCACTCAAACACTTAAAATATTTAAATTCACTTATTTTGTTAAAACTTTTTTGAAAACTTACTGTATAACAATATTCTAAAAAATATATGATATATATTATGTATGTAAAGTTATTTTGATTCTTTGTATGTTTATAAAATGTGAGCACAACAAATTGAAATTGAAAGAATTGAAATTTTGACATTGCCTCTAGGTATGGAATTTTCAAACTTTCAAACATTATATCATTTAGGTAATATCAAAAAGAAGAGAGAGAGATGTAGCAAGACTATTTCTTCAACAGGTTTGGCAATGAGAAAGACGAACCAATACTAGGAAAAGAAAGAATTATCCTTAGATTTTAAATGTGCCACAAGAGTTTTACAAAAAGGTGTAAGACATTACTGTTTTCAACATTATAGACTTTTCACTTGATGCATACCTGTAAATCTGCTTTAATGGGCCTGGGGAAATGGTTACAATTTCAATTTCAATACTGTATTGTTCATTTGTATATCCCTTAGAAATCATGTTTGGAATTTGAAATACATCATTGTCATGTTCTCACATTATTTTATGTGTGACGCACAAGGCTTTTGAAATTAATTTAAAGTATTTTCGATCGTGTTCGATCGTGTTCGTTTCTTTTCACTGTCCCTGTCAAGAAAAATGCAACAAAATAGTATTATAGTTGCACATTAGTTGGGCGGAAAATTCCTTACAGTTTTTTTACCTCATGGAATGATCATGACAGTATAATTTATTCTTGATACAATATATCTTCAGATTCTTCACAGAACTTTATTGATCAATCTTAGTCTATGAATCTTTAGATTACTCATACAGTAAAGGAGATATAAACTTTATTGAGAATAAACTATACAGGTATTGTCACAATCATTTCATGAAAAGAGATAAGAAAGATTATTCACAATTTGTACTCAACAGTGTAGATCTTCACTCATATCATGTAAAAAAAAAAAAAAAAATTAACTCGATGTGATAATTATCTTGCCGTTCACAGTTTATATTACCACTAATTTTGTGTCGTAATCTAAAAGTGTATGTATACCTCAAATGGTTTTGCAATTTTGTGAAGGCCAAACAGAACCTTTTTTCTGTAAGCTATACATAAATAAAACCTGCAGTGTGCTATCACATGTAAATACTGTGCAAAAATACATCTTCTTCAGGTAAACTTGTTTATTTCACCGACTATATACGTGTAGTGTTGAGGATGATGATGATGATGTGATGATGGTGGCGGTTGAGGTGAAAATGATGGTGTTTGTACTTGTGATAATGATGATGGTGATGGTGATGGTGGTTATGGTGATGGTGGTTATGGTTATGGTGATGATGATGATGCGATTGTGGTGGTGGTACAGTAGTTGCAGTGAAGATGATGGTGTTGGTAGTTGTGATGATGATGATGGTGATGGTGATGATGATGATGGTGATGATGATGATGATGATGATGGTGATGATGATGATGATGGTGATGATAATGATGGTGATGGTGATGATGCTGTGGTGATCGATACTGTGTGTTTGAGGTGGTGGTACAGTAGTTGTAGTGAAGATGAAGGTGTTAGTACTTGTGTTAATGATGATGGTTATGATGATGATGATGATTGACACGGCCTTGTTTATATTTTGTCCATTGGTAACGATTCTCTTTCATGCGGACGATCTTTATTCTTGGACCAGCGCCCCTACTGATTTATAAAGTACAGGGGTTATAGTGAGCACTAGAAAAAAAAAAAGGATTAGAATAAAATGGCATCTTACAACTCCCCCCCCCCCCCTTTTGGATAAGAAAATTTGTGAATAAATTGGGAAAATGGGGGTAAAATGGGGAAGCAAAACAAAATTGGGGAAAAATAAATAAATCAGGAAACTGATTTTAATCGGGTAATTATCAGGCCTGAAAGTAGCTGTGGAAGTCTAACCTTTGACTGTATTGTGTAGTTGTGATCCTCTCCATTTCTGATTACACACCAAACACCCAGGGGGAACCCTCCCTCCGTCATGGATGGGCGTAGCCGCCACCTGACTCAGATCATCATTTTGAGACAGCATATTGACATTCTCCTGAAAAGTAATACAAAAAATGAACAAAGGCACACGAGATAAGACCTCTTATCTATCTTGTCAAGTCCTAGCTAGGATGAAAATTTGGTCCACCGGGGCAGGTAAAAAGTACCAGGTATATAGACCTATTAAATATTTTTTTGCAGGCTTCCTTTAAAGATACTATTACTAGACACTAATGTCCTAATCACAGACCCCAAAAATTAAAAGGTTAAATTTCAACTGCATTTGAAAGATAATACTATTTTAGAAATTTGCTTAAAACGAAAAGGCTTGAAAATGTCTTTTAATGGGAAATGATGAGCATTTTAAACAGTATGTAATTCTTGTTGCAACTATCGACTCCTTGAAGTTCTCATAGACTTGATAGAGTCTACTACCCAAGACTCATTAAGAGCAATAACTGGAACCATCCGCCAGGCTCAGCAGTCAATGCAACAGGTATAACCAACTTCAAGGAGGCTGCAAGTCTATACCCTCCATCAGAATGAAGCAGCCCCATGTTGGTTCTCACATAGATCTAAGCTTACTAGCTAGACCAAAAGCTTCAGTCTCTCTTTATCGTCGGTTGTTCCACTAAACTGCGCTACGTCTGGCTCCACTAAGTATGGGGAATGTCAACAAATGTCAGTTGTTGTTAAAGAATGACCGATCTACCACTACCAGTACCAGACGGTAACCTTTTACTTGCACTAGACTTCATATTTTACTGTAAATTAGTTGCTTTGACTTGTCCACAATTCATGACACAGTTACTCGCCTCACCTACCATCCCAGTATAGCTTCCTGAGTGAGCTGCCAAAGGGATTACCCAATCGAGTACCAAGTTTGAACAAGTAGATCTCCCGGCTCCCTGGCCCTGCTACTGTGCACTGCTACGCCCTCGTCCCTGACGGTCCCTCCACGCTAAACTACAGTCACACTTGCTTACTCACAGTCACAGATCTAGCTAGATCCCCTAGACTATTTATGATATTTTCATATCATTGAATATCTTACTTAGACTGACACATTATACAATATCCTTGTTCATTATCAAGTATAACTAGGCTTTACAAAGCTAGCATTCTTTGTTTTATTTACCTCGCCCCAAAACACCCTTGGAAGTTGGAGTCTTCTACACTAGCAGATAATAGTTGTCACTAGTTCTAGCTTCTGCCAGCACGTCACCGACACAAAGTTTTGTAATGTCATGATTACGCAATATGCGAAGTGCACGTGTTATGTGTGCGCGTGCAATGCAGTATGTGTGTGGCATACAATACAAATGAGATGGTGTGTGTGTGTGTGTCAACAACATTGGCGCGAAAGATTCACAATTTGTTATGTACATTTTTTCATTTAATTAAAATTTAGTTTAATAAAATTAATTATTGATAACTCATATTTATGAATATAACATTTAATTATTTTCTGTATTTAATTTTGATGATAAATTTGTTTATAAATACAAACAAAAGATTTAAAACATCATGAATACTGAATAGTTTTTGACTTACCTTCGCGGGTTATTTTGACACGTGATTGTCACAGCTGCCCAACTCCGCGAAAGTCTTTGTGCATTCAACAGTCGAAACCTGGCATTTTCGTGAGTAGTTTGTGCATAATTTATGTTTTGAAAGGTATTTGTTCACAGATGTGGTGCATTTCTTTCATATGTTTATTAAGGAATTATGTGTTGAACGCGCTGTAACCTCAATTGCGAAAAAATAGGGAAATTCGACATTTTAGTTGAATGTACACGGCTGATTCGATTGCCAAGTGTTTTTTAAATTTTAAAGGGACATGAATAATCACGATGGTCGTACACTGGAGGCCGGATCAGCGAGTAGGCCTAAAACAGAAGCTTGCAGTCAGTCTGTGGCTGTGTCCACCTCTTTAAATATGTAATTTTTTGCTTGAAGTTGAATTAATGAATATTGATTAGGCCTAGGTCTATTGTGGATTTCGTTTGATTCTGCCAAAATAATGTGATTGAATTTGATTGTCAGCAAGTTTGTTTTCATTCGTTCATGTTTGGGTCAAACTCAAGAGTCAAAGTTAATTGGGAGCTGGGAATTTTATAGGCCTATCTAGATCTAAACACAAGGTCACAAATTGTCATGATGATTGAGTTAAGAATCTGAGGTCTGTGATAAATTTTAATGTGTTTCGTCCTAACCATGCAGGGGCAGTAGGGGTGCTGGTCAGAGCATAAACAAGGATATCCTGTAAACGTAGACAACTTGCGTCCCAAAAAAATATCAGACTTTTGTGGACTTTTTTTTTCGGTGCTCTGTGGGTTTTGGGGTTCCCGACCGCGTGCTGGCGATGCGAAAAACGGATTCCACGTAAAATTAAGAGAATAACCCCAGTTAACTGGCAGTCTACTTTAGTTTTATGGGTTGTCCGTCTTCCCGAGGATTTATCGCTCAAAAGGTGAAAGTCTCTGTACAAAACAAAGTCGATGTGAAATGCATCAAGAAAATCGGGTCGGAAACCACTTTCCGCATCGCTAACGCCTGAAATCGGAAATATGAAACATCTGCGAAAATGCGGACGATCCTTATTTTTGCGGACGCATTTGTCTGCGCTTACGAGGACGATTCTTATTCTCAGACCAGCGCCCCTACTGCTAACCCAGCATTGAAAAAAGGGATTTTAAGTTAGGTGTCGAAAGCTGGTGTTGGTGTTATGAGAACACCAGCATGTACCAGCCACAACACTGAACTTGAAATGAGGCTGGTGTTGTGATTGACCTCAGAAAATATGACATATTTCTGGTAGGCAGTGTTTTCCCCTCATTTTTTCATTTCTTCTTCCAGGCCATGTCTGTGAACTTCTCTTCTCATTCGTCATGATTGATTCTTTCTTCCATCTTCAGCCTCGGGCTCCTCTTCAGTTCAGTTCTAATATGTTCTTCTCTCTTCATCCTTTCCTAAACTCTTCTTTAGTAGATTAAATTTCTGCTGTCTTTACCTTGCATTCTTCATTTATATTCTTAAGCACATTTTAACTTGTCCCTCTCTTTCTCCATTTCACTGTCTCTCCATTTAGGCATTACAGTTCTGAAAGATGTCGTCTCCTAGCAGCACAGTCGGTACTCCTAGTACAAGGAGCAAACGAGGGCGTGGCGATGAAAGTGCCAATGGTACCCCAAGCAAGCGAGGGCGTAGCAGTCAGAGTGACAGCCCCGAGCATCCAGTAACGCCCAGACGCTCCGGAAGATCCACAGCGAGTGGAACTCCCTCCAGTAAAGCTGGCACTCGTAAGTTGGTTTCATGTTCACACTTGAGTTGGTCTAGGGCGCATGAACTTATAAGAAAGATGGATCACATCCTTGTTTTATATCGCTATATTTTTTTCTTCAGAAACACAGATGTTTTAACCTAATTCAAGTCAGCTTAAATTAATATGTTGATCTTTTTTAAATTTTAGATTTTTTAAAATGCAATTCATTGGAGAAGTTCCAATTTTTTAACATTTTTTTTTTTAAGGGTGAGGGGAAGGGGTTTGAATTAGTACCAGAATGCTCCTGATTATTTCAAACTGTGATCGTAATTTAGATTCAAATTAGAGAATACTTTATGCTTTACTCAGGAATAAAAATAACACTGCCATCCTTGTTTAAATACAGCTTTCTTATATGAATTTTTGAAAGAAAGAAAATATTAGGAAATATGACCAAAAATATTGATATTTTGGTTTTTTTCTTGCAGCTCGTCGAAGCAACCGTGGTAGCACTGCAACTTCGCCCAAAGATAGGCCATTGGATTCCTCTCCAGGGGGTGAGCTGCCCCTTATGCCCTCCTCCCCTGCCTCAGGGGAGCCTGGACATGTTCACGATACATCCCTCCTCTTCTCCAGCCCTGGGGGTGGTGCTAGACCAGGTGAGACATGCACCATATGTTTCCTATCTAGATCAGATCACTCGATTGTGTAAACTAAATCCTTTTCAAATCATTTTGAAATGTGTTGCCAGCAAATGCTACATGCACAGTGTTTAAATTGTATAAAGTATTATCATTAAATACAATAAGTTTGTATCAGAGCCTTTTAACTGAAAAGTACTTCCCTAAAACAATTTTGCTTATTTTTAAAGGAAGCGATCAAACTTTTTCCAGTAAAATGAAACATTTAATATCTCTCTCTCCCCCCCCCCCCTCTCTCTCTCTTCCTTTCTCTCTCTCTGGTTTAGAGAAGGCAATGTTTAAGCAACATGTAGAAGAAAATATCTATATTGTCAGCAAAACTTGACTATTGATCAAATCCTATCCACATTTCTATTACCTTCTAGGAGTAAGTGAGCTTGATATGAGTTCTCCTTTGAACTATGGCACTCCGAGTTCATCCCGTCTTGGAAGCACACCAGGCCGCAGCGTGTATCCTTTCTGAAATTCCATCAGTCTTCAGGAGTTAACAATTTTGTTAAAGCTGTCGTGGCATTTCGAGTTCCATTTGTTAATAGAAAACAAAAAGTTCTGTAAAATGCTGTAACATAATTTCTTATTTTAACCAGCAATGAGAATGTTTTTCAATGTCCTATAGGACCTTTGCAGCCTTGAATTAACGAAGGCTTGTCAGACATACCAACTCTAGAGCAACCATCTTTGGGATATTTGTCCATGGGGTAGTTGTCATACACTGTTTGTCTGGGGATGATGGTTTAGGAGGGTAATTGTCTTGCAAGATGATTTTTTTCTTTCTGTGAGAAGAAAAACTTTAATAAATAAAAAAAAATTGTAAGTAAAGAGTCTATCTCACAGGAATCTTAGCCTGAAACTGGTATTTTCAATGCTTTAATTATGTAAAGGTAATGATGATAATTGGATTTTATTGCGCTTTTTTTCAGAGGATACAAGGCGCTGACCCCTCAATCTGTCAAAAAGATAAGAAGAATTGTAGAGGTATGATTTTTTAAGTCAAGTGAAGTACAATTTCTTAGAAATGCTGGGAGTTTCTTCCATAGGTATGGGGCAACAAATTGATTCCAGTCTGTTTTCAGAATTTATGGATGAGTAGGGAAGGAGCTGATGTAAATCAAAGTGAATATGATATTTTCTCCTGCTATTAAGAGTGCAAAGATGTATTGAGGAAGTTTGGTTGACAAAGCTTTTAAGAGTTTGAACAAGTATCCAGTATTTATTTCTGTCTGTAACTGTATGAGTTGTGTGATCTAGATGAATTGCATTCCTTGACTGCTGATTGTGCAGTGGTACACCCATTCGCCCAAGAAGTGATATCCGCAGTGACAGGAAGATTAGACAGGTCAACCTGGGCTCAGATCAGACGGTAAGAAAACAAAAGCACAGGGCTAGTTCACTCTTCAAGGAGTAAATCAGCGCACAAATGCCTGGGAAGCAGTCAAATAAAAGCCATCTAAATGTAAATGGCTTAATCTACTAACAATTTTAGACTCCTGTGATTATCTTCAAATACACTTGTATTGGTGGGAAGTTAGAAAACACCTATTATTTGCTTATTTGACTTGGGAACAAAATTTGAAATAGTTAAAATTTTGGTAATATTATTTACATTCCCAAGTGGCTACCAGTGAAAATCCTTAGAGACCCTTAGAAGGTTCAAAACGGGCTTTGGTTTTGAGTTTGGCTATCGTTAATTTATTAGTTGTACGTAATTTGAACAGAACTTCAGCATCATCTTGAATTTTTGTAATGTCATTGGTGTTTCGAAAAATGAATCGACCTTAGGATAGTTTCATCTTTGTGAGGTCGGATTTGTATTATAAATGTTTACCTTTTTTATTCTTTGTTAAACAGAATTACTTCATATTGTGAATTTCTTTCTGACCATCTTTTTCTATTTGTTTTGAATAGGGTGAGCCAGCTACAGAGCCTACTGGTGCAGTGACCAGTGACCAACCTGGCGGTCAGCAGATGGTCATCTGGGGAACCAATGTGGTCGTCACGGAAACCAAGGATAAATTTCAGCGCTTCGTGGAGCGTTTCATCGATCACGAGGCAGATCCATCAGAAGGCATCAATCCTCATGAACCACTGTACTTGCAGAAACTAGAAGAGGTACTTTAAAAAAATCTTCTCACTTTTATTGAGATGCACTCATTACTTATGTTGAAACAGGGAGGGGGAGGGGGGGGGGCTAATTTTTCAACAAAATGTATTTACAATTGCACTGTATCTTTTTTTAATCAGGCAGTTGGATTGTTGGAAATAGTTTGATCTAAACAGCAAGTTCTAGTTCATTTTGTAGCCTCCAGTCCAGTTATCTATGAAGAAAAGTTTTCTTTTGATTTTAAATTAATAATGATTTCTGTTCAAGATGTGGATTTCAAGGGAAATTGATTGGACTCTGCTCTGAATCGCTTTCATGCAGCAGAGTTTCCTCCTTTTCTTTTTATACCAGCCAAATGTCAAATTGAAAAGAAAAAAAAACATTTTCCTAATATATTGATATGCAGATAAGGGCTGTGGTGGTTTGAAAGATTCTCAATTAAATGTAAAGTGACATTTAGTGAAAAAGGATTTTTCGTAATATTTACCTTATCAAAATTGACCTTTGCATTCATTTTCTCGATACCATCAGATCCAGACTCTTGAGCTGCCATTCCTGAACGTGAACTGCAAGCACATGAAGGAGTTCGATACAGAGCTCTACAATCAGCTGGTGACCTATCCTCAGGAGGTCATTCAGATCTTCGACATGGCCGCCAACGAGATGTTCTTTGAGCGTTACCCTGATACCAACCTAGAACACCAGGTCCAGGTCCGGACTTACAATACAGAGAAGACCAAGAACATGAGGTCACTCAATCCTGAAGGTGGGTCCAAGAATGACAGAGTGATGTCTGATGTCGCTTAGATTACTCTGTTTTAAATTGTACACTTGTTTTTCAAATGTAATGTATATCCATGGGCAATTCAGTACTATAATTCTGTAACTGCGATGCATTATGATATCTGAATCATAAAGTCAAAATTCCTGTTTTTTTTAAAAACAAGTTTTAAGGCCCACAAGCTGTGTATATTGTAGAGAAAATTGGATAGAGACTATGGATTAAGGTGATAGGTATTGTTCTCAATACTCTTTGATCTTCAACAATGCTAGATTTAATGCACAATTTGAACCCTATGATTGCAACTTAGAAGTGTTCAATATCATCTTTCATGAAACAATAAATCTATGTGTACATATGCTTGTCTCAGTATTGTTAAATTGTCAGGCTGTTACAATTCATTTATACCATTTACAATAATTCATTTTGGTATAACTTCCCTGAGTAAGTGTTCCAAAAATTAAGAGAATAAACGGTTTATCGATTGGCAATAATAATACATTACAGTCATCTTTTTAGCTGTTTCTTTTGACACTGATAAATTGATATTAACCTATATGTTTGCTTGCCTCCTGTAGATATTGACCAGCTCATCACCATCACCGGTATGGTCATCCGTACCTCCCAGCTCATCCCTGAGATGCGGGAAGCCTTCTTCCGTTGCCATGTCTGCTCCTTCTCCCAGAGCGTAGAGATCGATCGTGGTCGCATCGGAGAGCCGGCCGTCTGTCGTAGCTGTCAGACCAAGTACAGCATGGCACTCATCCACAACAGGTCACAGTTCTCAGATAAGCAGATGGTCAAGCTGCAGGAATCACCAGGTAATTCAAGATTCCCTATTAAAGTGACTCGGTAACATTGCCCCAGATTCTGAAACAAAATCCTGGATTTAACTCATGCTGCAATGATAATTATAAACCTTTAGGTCATTCAGGAACCCCATGACTTTTACAAGCCGATCGCCTGTCTGATTATCAAGATATTTATGATTGGAAATAAAAATCAAATTTTGCATTTTCTAAACAGATTTCAAAGCACTTCAGTCTATTGGGGAAAACGAGGATTGTAAAACCGGTCACTCAAAGATTTTTTACTTTTTTGAGGCACTTCTTGATCATTTTGAAGCAGAATTTTTTTTAGGGCTTTAATATTACACCATATCGCAGACACTGATAAAACGTAGGGCTGTGCATCTCAGATTTAACATTGTTAAACGATGCCTTTAAGGGATTTTGATTGTAATATGGAGTTTTATCTTGAGGGGAGGGTTAGGATGAGTGAAGTCCTATGTTATGTCTTATAGGCATTGGAGGGAGGAACTTCGTCCTCTGTGAGATCAGGGGGGCATTTCATGAAACAATTATTCGGTGAAAACCACCGACTAATTGTTTCATGAAACGCCCCCCTGATGTGCACTGTCAGACTTAAAAGATGATTGTCAGGGCTTGTTGTTGTTATTTTGTTAGTGGATAAACAATGTTAATTAGGTTGAATTCAAATGGGTGATTCTCCAAAAACACATGGACAAAAAAGTAGTGTCCTACCATGAATATAACAAATCTCAAACTTTGCTGATGAGGCCCATTCGATGTAAGTTAAAAACCTTGGAGCTACTGTACTCAATATTTCAATATTTTTGGGTCAAATATATTTCAAAGAAATTTGAGAAAAGACTCTTTGGGGTATGCCCAAACTGTACATAGTTTCTCTATTGTTTGATCTACTCATCTACTATTTTCACCAATCTTTATGTAATTCTTAATCTCTATTTTCTGTTTTGCTAACTGAATGTTTAGTTACTTTTAGTAGTCTAGGCATATAAGAAACTTAGATCATAAGTATTTACTTCATCCTTTATTAATTTCAGATGACATGCCTGCTGGTCAGACTCCACACACGGTCGTCCTCTACGCTCACAATGACATTGTGGACTACGTGTCCCCCGGTGACAGGGTGTCTGTGACCGGTATCTACCGCGCCACGCCTCTTCGTGTTAACCCTCGTCAGAGTAACGTCAAGGCCGTCTATAAGACCTACATCGATGTCATCCAGTTCAGTAAGGATGACGCTGACAGACTCCATGAGAATGTGGATGATAAGTAAGTTATGTGGGTTAGTTTTTGCGTCATCTTAAAGTTTGTGTTGGAGACACTCTTCACCTAGTTAACCCCATAAGCCCTGAGTTGGAATCTTCTTTTTACAGAAGCTTTTGTTGGATATGCTGATTTAGAAACGAACTGTATTATCCCAGTAGGTAACATATGATAGATTCCATAAGTTTTGTGTCTTTGAACATCAAAGTGTCAGGTGGTTCAAGAGGGGTGATTTTAGTACTGGAGGTATACCCAGTCTGTCCACAAATTTCTGGAGGATCATGGTATATTCACCTTCAGGTTCTTGTTTCATTTCATTGTCTAAGTCTCATGGCTTTTATAGTCCTCCATCAAACTCAAGTCCTTCCAAGTTGTGTGCTGAATGCAGTACTTATAAAGAAACTGTCATAGAATTGATTAGTTAGTGAAAGTAAATGAATTGAATTAAATCTGCTGAAATTTAATCTTTTTTTTTTTTTCTTTCTTCTCAGTGATGGCAAACAGACTTTTACAGAGGAACGCAAGGAAGAGCTTATCAGTCTCTCCAAGACACCAGATATCTACAACAGACTTGCTAGAGCTCTGGGTAAGAAATTGTATTATTTCATTTGCAGGAAATTCAGCCCGCTTCAGGTGTGGATAACTAGCAAAAAAAAATTTATATAGTGTGTGATGCGTAGAAATTATTCATAATGATTAGAACACATCAGTGATATAGAAATTAATTAATTTCTGTATTGCCAAATTGTACACCAATCTGATGTTTCATTTTGTATTCCTACCTCAATATTTGAGGTTTTATGTGTGAAGAATATATGATTATTTTTAAAATTTTTAATTTGATTTTCATTGACTATTGTATTTTTATTGCTCCGTTACGAAGTACAATGAGGATGTAATGGCTTTGATAAATAATCTTTAAAAGACAAATTTCTTATCAATGCCATGATGAAACTCACTCTGACACCCCTTCTGAAGTTCTATCACAATGTTGATGAGTGAATCTGAGCATATAACTCTTGTTTAGACTTCGTTATACATCACTGCAAATATTCAGAAAACAGGTTTTGGTAGCAAAATATTGTTACCGAAGAAAATTCGCACATGTTAAGATTAGTCCGAACAAATATCTACTTCTAATTTTTCTATGTCACAGCACCCAGTATCTATGAAAATGAGGACATCAAGAAAGGAATCTTGTGCCAGCTGTTTGGATCATCTAAGAAAGATTTCTCAGAAGCAGGAAGGGGGAATTTCAGGTAAGTCTCTCAAAGAGTATCTTCCATATTTATATTTGACATTTCAAGCCAGAAGGGCAATGGGCAACCCATTAGCAACTAGAGATTTTGTAAAAATGGCCCTATTACTCACTGGAAGATGTTGCAATATTGCTCTCATTTTTACATTGTTCTGATGTGACAAATGTGCTATTTTTCTATGCAGAATCCTACTGTAGACATCGTAAGGATTACGCCCGTAGAACGTTATCATGATAGATCCCATAGAGGGGAACTATAGTGCGTTGAAAACGGACAAGCAGTTTCGGGCAGTTTAGTTGCTAATGGATTAATGTTTGACAAAAGGGAAGAATACGTCCATGTTCAGCATTACTGGTGCTTTTCTATTTAGCAAAATATGCATTGCACTCTCACTTGCATAAGACGTAATTAGAAGTAATTAGCTTATATATGCATAAAGATATCTGTGTTTTCTTGTGCATGAATTCTATCACATTTTAGATTAAAAGGGAAACATTAATATACTACCTCTAAGTTCTTCAGGCTGGTACTGGAATCATTGTTATTATAACAAACTTACTGATTACACCATCAAATTATTTACCTGTCAGACTTTCAACTACCAACTATGGCAAGCTTTGTTAGACAACAGACGGTGAAGACTACTAGACCGATAGTCTGAGAGAATCATATTTATTTTTTCTCTGTATGTTAAATGCAAATCAACAAAATAATATACACTCCAAGTCAAGAATTGTATGATTCATTGCGCATTTCCTTTGTGAATCGTTCCGACCCTAGATCGGACATCAACATCCTTCTCTGCGGAGACCCAGGTACCAGCAAGTCACAGCTGCTACAATACGTGCATAATCTGGTCCCTAGAGGGCAGTATACATCAGGCAAGGGATCCAGCGCTGTTGGTCTGACAGCTTACATCACCAAGGATCCAGAGACGAGACAGCTGGTTCTACAGACGTAAGCAAGCAATTCTTGTTTGTTTTGATTGAAAATGTCGGATCCTAAGACCAGAGGTCGCTCATTTGGTATCAAAGCTTGAACCTGATTTTGTGAACAAACTTACTTGGTATGAATGACTTTCGATTTTAATAAATTTGTCATTTATAAGGTAAAATCAAAGTCAATATACTTCCGTTTTGTGATATCTAAAATATCTGGATGGATAATACTTCCCTTAAATTTTTGATGCATAACAAGTCATCTTTTAATTACATTAAAGTGTTGCATAGGAACAATTTTACTAACTCCCTTTGTTACCTTGTTGATAATCTGGTGAATAATGCAGAAAATGATGACAGACGATAAAAAATGCTTGTCTGTATCTTCACTGGGCCTCCCACTGTAGTACAGAAGAATTTATTTGGTCACATTATTAGGGGCACTAAACATTTCTATTTTGTTCATTTGATGACAGTGGAGCCCTGGTATTGAGTGACAATGGAATCTGTTGCATTGATGAGTTTGACAAGATGAATGACAGTACACGATCTGTTCTACATGAAGTTATGGTAAGCACAAAATCTAAAATTTCCTTTATTGTTTCAGCATCATGCACTCTTTTTTCCTTTTTCGATATGTATGTGGTCATAATAATGTTCATTTGTAGTAAATGGCTCATGTTTAATTACCTAAATGGTGCCAATAAATGTTTTGCTATCTTCTTTCTTAAACTTTTTTTGGAGATATCATGTTGCCATTGTGAACATTTGATTGTAGATGGAATGTCTGTAATGGCACTAATGTGTTTTGGGAAGGCATTGTTTTACATACCCGGGAGAACAATGAGGAATTCATAGCAATGCCCTCATTCCATCCTTTGTAAAGGAATAGTAAAGAAAGGTTGAGTTCTGGGGAGAGGTGAAAATAATTTGTCAGCGTTATCATTGTATTATGCAAGTGTGGAAGAACATCAGATACAAAATGTTCCTGGAAAGCATGGCTCTCCAAATGCCTTAAAGGTAATGACCAGTTATGGGCAATTCCACGGTAACGGAAGGACACTCAGACAAGATTTTTGAACTTCAGGTTCATACTAAAAGAACTGTTTTATTAGTATAAGATGTGAAACAGTACAGATATAATACCTATATAAGTGCCTTTAATTCTCCCCAAAAAAATTGTCATTATAGTTAAGTAGTTTAAGAATGTGCATATTAATTATCTCGGTAACGGAAGGACATAAAAATGGACATGGTTTTTCCAGTTAATTAGTGTTTATCCAAACTTTGTGAAGTTGATGAAGCTTTCCACTTGACTGAAACACATTTTGTTCCCCATAGTTTAATACATACTAATAAAACATTTCTTTTAGTATGAACCTGAAGTTCAAAAATCTTGTCTGAGTGTCCTTCCGTTACCGTGGAATTGCCCTTATGGTCATGCGATTGCATTGTGAAAGAAACGTTGTGGAATCAATCAGAAAAGGTTGATCATCTAGCATCTAGCATCTGCAAGGTTCTGGAATCATCAAAATGATAAGAAATTTGGCCCGTTCTTCGTAAAGTTACAAGCACTATACACAGAAAGATGTATATGGGACTACCCTATATCTCTCACAGACCATGAGAGAAACAAATTTACCAAATATATGAATTAGTAGGCGGTTTCCCGGCAAATTTTTTATCATCATGTATTAGTCAAAACATATTCTTTCACATGATTGGTAATGAGAGCTTCCATTTCATTTTTTGAAATTGGGGCGTTTCCAATACTGGTCTTTACCTTTAATATTCTAAATATGGTATGTATCATAAAAATCGTGACAGATTTTTATGCCACATGTTTGTGTAATCCCATATTCATCTTTCTGTGTACAGTGCTTGTTACTGTTACCAAGACTGGACCAAATCTCATCATTTTTATAATTCCAGAACCTTGCAATACCACCAATACTTATATGCTACATGATCAACTTTTGCTGATTGATTCCACACCATTTCTTTCACAATGCAATCACATGACCAGAACTCAATTTTATCTTTATTTAAGAGTAGAAATGATGCAGGCATTGTGTGCATGCTGGAATATCAAGGACTAGTCAAGTCAAAATAGAGGATGAAGCTTTGATTCACAGCATGATATAATTATCAATTATTTTTTATCATTCTTGTGTCACAGGAACAACAAACACTGTCCATTGCCAAAGCTGGCATCATCTGTTCTCTGAATGCTCGTACGTCCATTCTGGCTGCAGCTAACCCTGTAGACTCACAGTGGAACCCCAAGAAGACCATCATTGATAACATCCAGCTTCCTCACACACTTCTTTCAAGGTGAGAGAGAGTACAGTCTGAAAATCTTTCCTTTCGAGCCCCACTGCACTACTTGTAGCTACTTGCGCCCTCTATATAGCAAACAATGTCTAATCGGTGACCATTGATCCCCCATGATCCCCTTTTTCTTATGTTAATTGAGAGCTGATTTAATGAGGTAACCACTTGTCAGTGACCACACAGGGGAGGTCTAATTCCTCCTGCCAAACTTGTGCAGTGGGGCTTAAATCAACTGATTTCTAGCTTTTATTGAGATGAGGATGATTAGTTTACAGGGATTTATTTATTTTTGCATCTAGGGAAATGTAGGAAAATAATAAATTCCAGAATTAGTATGCAATCCACCACACAGCCTCCTGTACACTTATTGTAAAAGATTAGTAATTTGGGTTTTTATCTAACTCTCATGAAAAGTACAAGAACAAAGAAAAGAAGGAATTAAAAAAAAAATATTTCCAAAACTGATCAGTTCCTTTGCAGTACTTTTAATTAATGCTGTCATTTCATACTGTTGAGAGACCAACTTTGTGTATTTTAAGATATTTGTCAATTTAGTTATTTCATAGCAATATACTTAAAACACATATTGCTTCATAATACACAATTTACTAGTCATGTAAATGTTTCAAATAACAATCCTTGAAAATTCCCCATTACATGCCTGTGCATGTATTAGGATGTAAAGTGTTTGAATGTGATACAATACCATACCTTAATGTAACAGTTTGGAGTACCATACTTTGACCTTTACCTTTGTATTAGGTTTGACCTCATCTTCTTGATGCTGGATCCTCAGGATGAGATCTTTGATCGTCGCCTTGCCAACCATCTTGTTTCACTTTATCACCAAGGCACTCAGGAAACAGATGAAGAATTCATGGTGAGAAAATAATTGAACTTTATACCGAGTGTCATAGAATTCCTCAAGCTTTTTTGGTTTGTTGTATCGAGTTGATTGATGTCATACTGTGTGAAATGTTAATGGTATTTGAGATTAAAATATTTGATATTTGTCAACAACGAAATGGTCAAAAAAGTATTAATCAAAAATTGTTGAATGATGTGAAATTTAAGATAAAAACATACTTTTGTAGAATATTGTTTGCAAACACATATTAATCAAGATGAAAATTGTGCACACTTGGTGTTGCAGTGTCATTGAACTTTGCTGGTTTAAGAGAGAAATAGGTCATGCAACTTTTTCCAGTATCTTTGATTGTCAGGTTGTATATTACACAGGAAATGCTTTAGAGTAATTAACACAAGCAAGTGTGTAACAGACAACTTGAGAGTGTGTAATTGTAGGGTTTAAGAAATCTACACGAAATCAACAAGGTATGAATTTCACAGCCAAAATTTGTAAACAAGAAGGAATGTGTAATTTACAATCGATCTATAGGTAGAAACTGAAGCCCTCTGTAGTTTTGATTACACCATTTCTATTGCCCATTTATTTAAAGCGAGGTCTTCTTAAATCTTAAATTAAATTATGTTATATAAGCAGTTACTTTTTCACGTTCTTAACAAATCATGGCACTATAATTTCACTACCATGTCAAAAACTGATATACGCAATCTGTAACATTGTGCAATACAGTTGAATTTATATGACATATAGACTGAGAATATAAACCAGTGGCATAAATCCAGATATCTGAATTTCTACTAATGATGTTTGAAATCTAAATGCAAATGCAAAGGCACAATCGGTACAAAAAAAAAGTTGGTTTTGTTTTTGTTTGTAGTTCGATAGAGAATCAAATGTATCTCTCTAAATTATATAAATTCTCTTTTATTAATTGATAAATTTAATATTCAACCTGTCAATAATAAATACTTTTCTCTAGATTTCACCATTCTCTATTATTACATTTCTAATAAACACAGGACATGAGCCTTCTCAGGGACTACATTTCCTACGCGCGTACCTACGTCCATCCTAACCTGGGTGATGAGGCTAGCCAGCTCCTGATCCAAGCCTACGTAGAGATGAGGAAGATCGGCAGTGCTAAAGGGATGGTGTCTGCGTATCCAAGGCAACTAGAATCACTGATCAGATTGTCAGAGGCTCACGCTCGCATGAGGTTCTCCAAGGAGGTGGAGAAGGAGGATGTACATGAAGGCAAGAGGTAAAAACATTTAGGTCAATAATATTTTTTGCCATTCAATAATATCACTTGTATTTCCAAAATATTGAGATAAGTATTTCAAAACTGTTAAAAAATGAAGCAGTATATGTTCAAACATTTGGGGTAAGGATAGATTATGGAGAATATAAAATATGAATATAAATATGGTTGAAATGACATACCAAAAATGTAGGTCTACTCAGTAAAATTTGTTATTAGGTGTGCATGTTCAACAGTTTAGATACTTCATAGACTTGATATATTCACAAAGATCAGATATTTTCTTTTCCCTCTGTCATTTATCTCTGTGCATTTTGATGAAGTAGGGAAATGAAATTCAAGATCATGCACATCTCTTGGAAGAAAATACATTTTCAGCTTTTACATATGTGTATTTGAAGTTCCCATTCTAATATCCTAAAACAAACAATTAACAGCGGATGAATTATCCATCTTTTTCCCTATTTTGTATTTTTATATAAAAATAGGCTACACTACGAGGCCTTGAAACAGGCTGCCTTTGATCCACGAGACGGAACCATCAACATTGACATCCTAGCGACTGGCGTTAGCAACACGGCACGCAAGCAGCAGCAGGAATGTGGTAGTGCTCTTAAGAAACATATCGAGGCTAAGGGCAAGGTCGTGATGCTCAAGTATCATCAGCTCTATGAGGAGTTCAGACAGTCCTCGGATCTGGTAAGAGTCACATTTCTTGGCTTACCATCTATATAGTTCTATACCCCAAATGGTGCAATACGCTCTTGGACATACACCTCATTGGTCTTACATCCCTTTGGTCTAGTACACCATTGGTCCTACATATCATTTGACCTACAGCACATTGTTCCTACATCCTTTAGGTCCAAATTCCATTGGTCCTACATATCATTTTGCTTACAGTACATTGCTCCTGCATCCTTTAGGTCCAAATTGCATTGGTCCTACATATCATTTGGCTTACAGTACACTGTTCCTGCATGCTATAGGTTCAATACATACCCCATTGATCCGACATACAATCTGTCCTTCATCATATTACTCCTATAACTCATTGGTTCTACAGAGTATTGGTCCTATACTTTGTTGGTCCTATGTGTCATTGGTCCTACATTCCTTTGTTTTAATGAAACCTAACCTTAATATGAAGTAGGATCAATGCATTAGGAATTGTAGGGGCAACTTAACCATCTTGGAAACCTAACACTATCACAAACAGCTTTGCACCCTGAAAATATTAAGTGCTTTACCGTTGAAAGTTAATTGCTGTTATCATTATACCCTGTGGCAGTGTGCTAATAGGATTTTGTTTACATATTTGTACTTCACAATGGGAGTACCCTTCAAGTTTTTGCCTCCAATATATTTCTGAATATCAACAGTTATGAATGATGATTTCTTATCAATCTTGTATTGGACTTGTATCAATCTGACATTTTTTTCTCAAATTTTTACCCCTTATTTTATTTTCAGCCAATCACGAGAGACATGTTCGATGGAGCTCTGAGAATTCTCCAGGACCAGGACTTCTGTATCAAGACCAACAAAACCATCAGGATCATCTAAAAACTTAATCGATGGACCTTACGGATCCTTTATTTGCTCAGGACCAGGACCTCCGTAATGATCTGGACTTCCGTATCAGGACCTTAAGAATCATGTGAAATTATTTCAGAAGTTCTCTGCTATCCTTTCAGATATTGAGACTAAGCAAGTTCTATTTAGTCCAATCAAAGAGTCTAAAAACTCTTTGTAGATCTCAAAGACACTCTCATTGTTTTCATATTCCTCAATTAAGACATCTGTAGCGACATGTATTTGTGTGAGTATATGCTTAGATTGTAGGCTGTTAGGGGAATGGAGCTGCTAAACAAAAGCTGTATTGATACTAAAGTAATGCTTAAGATAATAACTTTTAAGTTTCAAGTTATTTCAAGTTTCTCTATACTCCCAAAGTGGTCAGGAGAAAACATCGCTCAGTAAAAAAAGTTCAGTAGCCTTGGATCAGAGATGTTGTTTGTTCCAAGAAAGGCAATTAATTCTCATTACCAAGCCCCTTGGATAGGACTATGAGCCATAGGTCATCTGGTTATCTTCTATCATACACTTTCTTTATTATTAGTCAACTAAATTGAACATTAAAATCAAATTAGGAATCAACACCTGTCAATGATTAATTTATGTAATATATTGATATCCTTGTGTAATTTAGAACCTTTATACAAATGTTTGTATAGATTATGATTTGTATTCTTATTTGTTATCCCTTTGGTAGACTAACAAATGGTTTGTTATCAAAGATATTTCTTTTTTGCCAAGGATTTTGGAATACAGTATATATGGCATGAAGTTTGCAGTTTTATATATGGAATAGCTGCTTTTATTTATTTTGAAGCATTTTTTGTGAAAATTAAACATGACTATTTTGGTTTCAAGTCAAAGCTTGCATATGCTTTGTTGGAGAAAGTGCCTTAAAGGTTGCATAAAAGTCTTCATTGTACAGTCACTGTAATGAATATGTTTTTTTTATTATTTTCAAAAAGCTCATATATCTGTAATATAAATTTGTTAATATTAGTTGAGAATTTGATTGTGCTGGATATTGTATACCGGTAGCCTGCTTGGAGCCAGAAGTGCTCTACATTGTTCTGTACATAAAATGCATTCCTGTGGTATTTCAGCCTAAACAGGACACATTATTTGTTTGGAGCTACATCAAACTTTGTGTTAAAATATACAAGTTACAACCCTTCTGGGTCCAGACAGTATGTAGTTATCAATTGTGATTGTTTCATACCATGTGTATAAATGTGTATATAGAATGTTAACAATAATTGATTTGATAAGTGCTGTGACTTCCATGGATTGGTATACTCATATTAAATATAGCGGTACAAGATGTACATAAACATTGATGCTGGTTTATGAGTGACTTAAAATAAAACAAGTTGATGTCAATGTTGGTTTTTGCATTTGGATGACAATAAATGAACATAAACGAAGCTAATACAAGGGAATTGAATATGGTTCCTTCTTGACATACAAGAAAAGGTAGCAAACAAATCTTTAAAGGAAGTACGAGTGATTTGGCAGGAGAGAGGAAGATATAGAGAAGGGTGAAGAACTGCATGAGAGTGGCAGGGCAAAGAAAGAGAGAAAACAATAGGACATTTATTGAGATTAGGCATAACTGAGAAATGGCCAGGAGAGAGAGAGAGAAAGACATAAAGAGAAACGGAGGGGAAGCTTGGGCCATAGTACTGGGTAGAACATTTGTTGGGAATGGGAGATTGAGAGACGAATAGGTTAAAGGGAGATGGAGGCAGAGATAAAGAGGGGCCAATTATAAGAAAGCAACGATAAAAAAGGGAAGTTTAAAAATATAATAAATCAACCGATGGAAAAAATAGAAGGTAAGCAGTGCCAGTGGGAGAGAGAAAGGAATAACGATTGGGAGCTCAAGACAAATAGAAAAATGGTAAGAGGGAAAACGAAAGGAAAAGAAACCGATTCTAAATAGCTAGTCCGGGGAGAGGATATCCACCAGCACCCGCTTCTTTTCTTGTTGTTTTCCAAAAGTTTACAATATTTGTTGTGACTTATGTCGAAAGGTAAATGAATTAACAAAATAAAAAATGAAAATGTCTTTGAACACAGACTAATATTCACGACAAAAATTTACAAAGACGAAAAAAGAGCTGAGAATCTACGCCCTGTTGCAAGTAAAAGACATTTAAGAGCCACTGGAAATGGAGGAGGATGACCTTACAAAACAGGTAAAACATTTGTACATGTTATTAACTAGCATGCTTAGGCCTTCAAGAGCCAAGATCCATTTTAAATAAAATCTTGGCGTCTGCTGTCCGCGCCGCTGCACGCACGAACAGCTGTGGTTCACCACCGCCGGGCCGCTGGCCCAGGCTGCTGTTGGCAAGGGCCGTGTCTTTCGGACGGTGCTGGAGTACGGAGTGGATGTTGAACTAACTTTAGATCTAGAAGAATTGGAAGCCCACATTTTCAAACATGCTTTATAGTCAAGTATTCATGTCATCAATTCTGTATAACTATAAAGTACAATAATAAATCAAAATTAAATAAATGGATCTGGGATTTCGAGTAAATGAAAAGAAGGAACAGAGAGAGAGAGAGAGAGAGAGGGGGGGGGGGGGGGGGGGGGTGGAGACAACATCAAGACAAAGACATAAAGTAAGGAGTGGATACAAACAAACCCAACAATTTAAATTAGATTAAAGAGAAGAAAGAAGAACAATTAAATGGGCATGAGAAAGGTTGAAATGAAGTGAGGCTACACAGAAGATGGGTGATCATTTGTGAATTGATGAGGGAAAAGATATGAAAAGCATTTTTTTTTAAAGATGGGAATGGGAGAAAAGTAGACTTGTGTAGACTGATAAAGGGCAATAATTTACAGACGGAGGTGTAGCAAGACAAATTATTAGAGGAGTAATTGAAGTCGACTGAAGAAACAACCTAAGAATGGAAAAAAGTGCTTAAACGTACAGTAGAATAACATTAAACATGTTGTAAAATTGAGGAGAAGAGGAACAGCTTCGATCAAGAAGCTGGCCCGAGCGTCTCTTTTAGTTAGGCTAGACAATGTCGAAACAAGATTTTTCCCTTTACCTCTGGAGCCATATATATGATGTATAATTGCCATGTATGTATGAATTTATTTGTGTTCTTTTCCGTTTTCTTCAAGGTTGATGAGATTGAAGCGATGTCAGCCATTTATGGAGATGATTGGTGTGTCGTGGATGAAATTAACAGGATCTATAGCATTACCATCTCGTATGAAAACGATAAGGACATGAGAATAAGTCTCCAGGTCAGAACTTGTAAATTTACTGTTTACTTAAAGTAGCCACACGAAGAACCAAAAGTGTTTTGAATTGATGCAAAAGTCATAATCATTGCGAAGGGGAAGCCTTGCCGATCAAATACAACAACTCTTCTCTTCAAAATATGTTTGGGGCCCGCAGTAATCTACTCTCAAAAATGTTATAGTTTTGAGATCCAGGTTTTCTGCCTTCAGCGGTCCTTTGTAGAGCGTCAATATTTGTGACGTCACATACGGGACACGGCTGGCTAGCTGCAGACTGATACACGGCACTGAGCTGTTTGTCCAGTGTGTAACGTCACTATTCAGAGCTCGCTACGCTTGTGTGTTTGGCTTACGTTCAGGGGCGTTCGGGGGTCTAGAAAAATTGCATTTTACGCCTTTCCATGATATCTATATGATTTCTCAGCAAATTATTCGTGTTTTTCAAGAAAAAATCTTTCCATCCATATGTAATTTGTTCTGATTATGAATTGTTAGTGAATTTTCTTTGTGTAGCTCCTTTAATGGTACCTACTCTTAAAAATGGGGGGAGGGGTCAGTTCTGTATCAAATTTACTGTAACATAACCTTATACAGGGCTGTATCAAATTTACTGTAACATAACCTTATACAGGGCTGTATCAAATTTACCATGTGCAGCATTACTTGAATTGTGCATTTGAAATATGAATTTAATGTAAGTTACAGAAATGGACGAGTCAAGTTACATTGTGATCCCTTTACACAAGTGGTCATTTGAATTCATTGTTCAAACTGGTTACACTATTTGCTTTGATGTATTTACTTTACTTTAGCAAGCATGCAACTTGTCATTCATTGAATAACAATACCTTACATTACACTTTACAGCTGAAAATCAACTCAAGAAATTCATGTTTAAATTTTTTCTTTGTTTCTCAGGTCCTTCTCCCTGATGAGTATCCAAGTAAGGTTCCTCCAGTAACTGAATTAAGGCAAGAAATTTCTCTATGTATTGATATTCAAATAGATTTTAGTACATAATGCATTTTGTCAACGGCTGAAGGTCAAGTCATTGTGGCTTAGTAATAGTATACAGCAGGCTGAAGGTCATTGGTTTATTGCTCACCGTTTGATAATAAGATAAGTTGGAGTATACATGATCTAATATACAATTTGTCTGATCCCATGTTGTGAATATCCAGTTTGTGTAATATCTGACTAATATTAGATAGCTTAGACAGATACCGAGATGTGGTTGGTCCAGAGCTCGTCACGTGATTGCGAGGATCCAAATTGTTATATTTTCCTGGCCGGTCACTTTTCGGTGTTATATTTTACCGGCTGGTGAAATGAATATATTTTTAATCAATGCATGTCGCCCTCTTGAGAACTGTATGTCACCAATTACACACATTACACCATTACCGAGGGTCATTTTATTTTTTCAATATTTTTTCATGAATTTTTTTTTTCCCTTGAAATTATTTTTTCCACATTTTCTTTTTTTCCCAAAAAATGCTTTTTTGGGTAATTTTTTTTTTTTTTTTCGTTTTTTTTTTTCTTTCCCGAAAAATGCTTTTTAGGGTAAGAATTTTTTTTTTTTCGATATTTTTTTTTTTTTTTTTTTTTTTTCCCAAAATTGTTTTTTCCTTTTTTTTTTTCTTTTTTGAACTATCTCGACAGATTATTTGTACGTAATTTTGATTGTCCCCGAAAAAAAATAATTAAAATTTCGGGCAAAAAAAAATGGACCCCCCCCCCCCCAAACAAAAAATAATGAAACAAAGGCTATCTAAGATAACAGTTATTGACTGGCAGGGGGTATATAACATTCTTTGGACCTGAAGGGAAAATATAACCACTTGGGAAATATAACTCCCTTCAGCGGTCCAAATAATGTTATATTACACCCCCTGCCAGTCAATAACTGTATAATGTGATTACATTTTGCCTACAAACAGATCAACTATTAATAATCTAATCATCAGTTTATCTAATTTTCAGTTCATCTAATTTTCAGTACTCTAGTAATCATATGTAATGTCTAATAGGACCACTGTTTATTTAATCTATGATACATTAGGTTTCACTCTCAATCTCAGAGCACAGTTGATGATGTACATTCTCAACACTCTGTTTGAAAAAAGTCATAGTCCATATTTCTTTTTATTATTTGTTCATTTCAGTGCTCCCTGGTTATCAGGTGGTAACAGAATACTGCTAGAGTCTGGCCTGGCACAAGTTTGTTTGTAAGTATCTTAGCAACTCAGTAGCGTCAACACAAGAAGAGGATACTGTCTGGTTGGAGCCAGAAGGGTGTTGCCTAGAGCATTGAAAAGAATACCTTTCTGTCTCTTTGCAGACAAAACGAGCAATATAGCACTTAACAAGCTGTCCAAAAATACCTAGAGCAACGCTAGAAGGAATGATTACAAGAAAAGTCTTTGTTAAGATATGATAAAAATATGGTCTTGAGGTTTTGACTCCTTTTTCAGAGCAAAAACTTGCTTATATTTTGGCCATTTTTACTGAATCAGGATTCTGTAGGAATTTTTTTTTTCTTTCATAAACATCTTTAAAAAATATTTAATTGAATAATGGAAAATTGTGTTAATTAGTTGCATTTGTTAGATATAATATTACTATAGCAATGGACCAGTTTCAATTCACTAAACCTTTAATTCTTGAAATGATCAAATTTGTTCCTTATTCACAGAGAAAACAGTGGAGAGAGTGTACTCTATCTGATGGTCGAAAGGATACAGGAATTTATGGCAGAAAATGCAACAATTAATGAAGACAAAGAAAGTGAAAATTCTTCAGCTACCAAAATAGGTAAGAGAAATTTTGTTATGCAAGAATCTGGAGAAGTGAAACATTTTATGGAAAACTGGAATACCTGCTCTGATGAACTAAGTTTCTTGAAGTAATCAAGCAATTCAAGTTTAGCAATATCATATAATATGACACAGAATTCTTCCAAATTATATTTTCAGGATTCATTAATATTGAAATTAATAAGTTAAAATGAAATGTGTCATCATGCTTTTGATTTTGTTAAATTTTGCCTGAAAACTGTTTTATATGTATACAGCACAAAGTTTTTCATTTTGTACAATTTAGCATTAGGCCTAACAAAAAAAATGTTGATTTAAAATTTTTTTTTTTTACTGTTTTTTAGATAGAAAAAATATTAAAGCATTCAAAACTGAGAAATATCAGCCCAAAGAGGGAGAAGAAAAAGAAAAAAAGTTTAAAAAAAGATTTTTGACCGAACGACCCATGTTTTGGCACCTAAAGGGCAATACAACATATTTTTTTTTAGGCCTGACACTATAAGTTTATAAATACATGTTGAATCCCATGTTTCCATTCTTGTTTTCTAGATTTTGATGAGGATAGGAGTGACCATACAATAGACCAACTTGCCTCATCACTTGAACAATTCCATACCACAAAGACATTGATAAGTAACCATGGTCCCCAAACTATAGGTGAGTTTGGACCGCTGTTATGCCATGAGTATGCATCCAGTTATATTAAGAAGGGATTAATAATAGGAGAACTTGGGGTAAAATTACATGAAGTTTAGATTTATGATTTGCAGTTGAAGTAGCTATATGAAGTAAAGGAACTTCTTTTCTTTACAATTTGTTTCTTTGATTTGTTGGATGATCATATACAATGGAATGATAAGCAAGAAGTAATTTTTTTAGTTTCAAGAGCCTCCTTTAATACATCCTAATTTCTGATAACCCCCCCCCCCCCCCCCCCCCCACTGATTTTTGTTTTGGCAATCCTTTACTTTTCATCATTTTTTTAAAGTGTATTCTCTTTAAAGGGAAAGTCCACCCCCAAAATAAGTTTGTTTCGATAGAGGCAGAATAATAAGAAAATCAGGTGAGTGAAAGTTTGAGCAAATTCTGAATGAAAATAAGAAAGTTATGAATTATTGAAGTTGTGATCAATCAAATACAAATTGGCAACTCTGTGACTTATTATACGAGCTCTCCTTCATTTGCTTTGTGCATAATATTCCATAAAATCATGTTTTCTTCGTTATTGATGACGGAATATATATTTGTTCCTTGCAGGGGGAGTATAGAAACATATTTGCAATTATTATATTTAGGGTGCATGTATGGTTGAAATTTTTCTTGAGGGAAAATGAAAATTGTAGATTTTTTTAGTACTGAGCAAATGGAAGTTGAGCTCGCATGATACATCATAGAGTTGCCAATTTGTGTTTGATTGATCACAACTTAAAAAATCCTAACTTCCTTATTTTTAATCGGAATTTGCTCAAACTTTCACTGACTTGTTTCTCTCATTTTTCTACTCCTATTAAAACTAACTTAATTTCAGGGTGGACTTCCCCTTTAAGGATGTTTTGAAGAAAAAAAAATAATGAGTCTGTTATTGGGTTTCCCGTTTGGGAAGATTCGACTACCGGTATTCGACATTTGGTACAGTAGGTACATATTCCACCAAGACTTCATTCTCACCAGAAAATGAATACGAGTATTGCTAGCTGGCAGAAGAAGAGTAGTGATATCATTCTTCAATGATTGTTTTTATTATGCTTCATGAGCAGCTACTTGAGATTGGCAGTGGTTCATTTCAAGTAATCATATTATTTGTTTTCTTTTGTCTCTTTTTCAGAGTTGCCTCCACTCGTCCATGGTGACACCATTACAGATAGGAAAAGCACATTTCAAGCACACATAGCATTCCCAGTAGTAGAAGCAGAACAAGTAAGTCCTCTTTCAACAAACAATTCTTATATTCAGACATCATCCTGTTTAGAAATTGAAATACGAACGAACCAGGAAGAATTTATTGTGTGTTCTTATGTCTAGTTTCTTATGTCACCGGTGATACGGCTATAGGGATTGGGGCTATTACTGCCTATTTCATGTCATGTTTTACTTCCACTGGTTCAATTTCATGTGGACTTATATTATTGTAGATTTTTTATATTTTTTATCATGATATGATTATTTTTGTATCTTTCAGGTTAAATGTTTACTTCATAAGCTGCGTGAAAACAAGAAAATAGCACATGCCACTCATAACGTAATGGCATACAGGTAAATGGATTCTAAACACTTTTGCATCTATATACTTGCTGAATGCATGTAAAAATGATTTGCCATGTTTAACTAATTAGCCTACTAATCTAGTGACTCAGTAGCTGCCTGTGTAATGCCATGCTCCATTTGAACATATGTTCATGCAGTTGTAAATATCAAATCAAGTTAAAATTTCAGAATTAAGAGTTATAGTGTTGTTGCATCCCGGGCACTGAGTTCTTGGGGGATGTGAGTTGATCTAGCGGCACGTTCACTTGCTCAGCTCTCTGTCTTCACCTACAAACTGGCTCAGGCGACTCCGGTTCGAAACTGACTAACATCTTTCGGATGGTGATGTTACAAATCATTCCCCAGACGTTAATAATCATACCTGATTCATACACATCTGTAAAACCCAATTGCCCACACACACATATACCAAGTTCTTGCACCCAATTGTAATTTGATTCATGTCCTCTTCATAGGGCATCTCCACTATAAAGTCGTATTGAAATCTGTAACTGTTGGTCTTACCTCATCTCAAATGATTGAATCACAGCACCATCTTGCTTTATGTCATACCTGTCCACTCTCAAGAGCACTAAGCCTCACTGAAATAGCTTTGAACCCTGAAATTCTGATCATTTGACAGTTTATTTGTTTGTTTTACCTGACTACTATTAAAGCAACCAGGGGACTGACGTCTTTTACTCCTCTCTGAGGGACTTGGTAATGAGGATTAATGCCTTACCTAAGGGCACAAAGGGCATTATATAAATTGTAAACTACATTTCTTTTACACTTGGTTTCAAACCCTGGACCTCCCAGTTACAAGACCACTGAGCCATTGTGCCACCTACACCCTATCATACAAATGATTAACCTCTATAGCTTCTTGTTCATCTTCCATTTCTCTATCATGCCAGGATATACAAGGAGGATCATGATTCCTTCATCCAGGACTGTGATGATGATGGGGAGACTGCAGCAGGTGGAAGGCTTCTTCATCTACTGCAGGTAATACTTCTTATAGGGGTTTCCCCAGGGTTTTTTCATACTTTACCGTGACCCATTATTACAAAATAACTTTTCTTAGAGTGGGTGGATATGGACATGAATTGTATTTTAATTATCTATCATTTTTTCCAACATATCCAACTATTATTTGTCTTGTAATTATTCCATTCAAGAAAGATTCTGTCAGCTAAACTAAAATACTTTTCCATTTTCTACTTATGTATCTCTTTTATTCCATCTGTTTTTTCTTTCTCATTTCTTCCTCATTTTTCTTTCTTTTGTCTTCTCCATATTTCCCTTCATTTATCATTTCCTTCTATGTTTCTTCATTATTTGTGATTTTGTGTTCCTATTCTCTCTCCCCCCCCTCTCTCTCTCTCTCTCTCTCTCTTTTCTTCTCTCTCTTCTCTATCTCCTCCCTCTCCCCCTCTCTCTCACTCACTCTCTCTTGTGTCTCATTATTTTTCTGATAGATTGTTGATGCAAGGAATGTTATGGTGGTAGTATCAAGATGGTATGGAGGTATTCATCTAGGACCTGACAGATTCAAACACATCAACAATGCAGCTAGGAGTATACTAAACAGCTCAGGATTCATACAAAATAAGGTTTGATGTAGCTAACATCTTATTTGACAGAAAATCAGTACTTCTGATGATATCCCCAATTCCCAAAATCAAGTTTTTGCAGTAGATCACTTATGGTAAATGTATTTACTTGTAGTCTCTCATATATTTGACATATCAGTACATTCAAGAAAAAAAGGAGAAAATTTGAAGAAGGAGGAGGAGGAAGAAGAAGAAAAAAGAAAAGGAATAAAAAGGCGAAAAGTTGAAGGAGAAGAAGAAGAAGAATTAAAAGTAGAATAGGAAGAAAAAGAAGAAGAAAAGGAAGGAGGAGAAAAAGGAGGAGGAGGAGTATATTTTCTAGAGCTCAGTGTTTTCAAGAGATGGTCCTAATGGTCTTGTTGTGTTTCTTTTCAATATTGCAGGATTCCACACCGAAGTCAAAGAAGACCAAGTCTAAAAACAGATGACAAAACCCCTTAGTATTCTCAAGATACATATATATTTAATGATAAAGATGATTTTATGTAGCTGTTAATTGACATAATAAATAGATATGGGAGTGACAGAATAAGGAAGAAATAAATAGAGGGGAGAGACTGTGTCATGGGAGAATGTTCAGCAGGATTGTTAACTCGAGTAAAAAAAAATTAAGTTTGACTAAATACTGTGGAAACATGAAACAAAGGCTTGTCATGAAGGTTGTTTAAATGACTCAACCAGGATTAAGAGCCATTTACAGTACTTCTTTACTTAAATTGAATGCCTCTTGAAGAAATATTTGTTTAGGAAAGACAAAGCGTAATGTAATCCCGTCTGAATTTCAGTTTTGTAAGAAACATTCATTTCGGTGTTTGCTCTCGTAATTTTTGTGCTACCCGAATGCTTTCAGACTTTGGTTCACAGCCTAATTACTTGTAAATGACTGGCAATATGTGTACTTTCAAATTCCTGACTATATTGAAAGTCTTGTTATCCTAGAGAAAATACTGTATAGGCCCGACACCTCGCAATGAAACTATCAGCTTATCAATGAAATTGAAACCTTGTTTATCTGAAATGGTGTAACATTTTTTGATGGAAGACCAATATTTTTAATCTAATTTTGACCTCATCTTGCAATCCAGCTAGCCAAACATTCACTGCTTTCATGAAACTCTCCAATACATTTAACTGAGGTCGACTATTTTTAGAACATGTTCTTGGACTGTGGTGCTGTACAAAGGCACATGGTTTGACTGAAAGAAACAAAAAATTGTGCAATAAAGTCAGTGGCTCAATACAATGTAAATTTGTGTGAAGGTTGGAAAGAAATATAGATTTGTTTACCGTTTCATATCTAGTATAATATTTGACGTATGGACAAAATCATATTGTCTATACATCATTGAATTGAATTAAGTTCATCTCATTTGAAAACAGTACCGGTATACCTTTGCTCTTGAATTTGTCTTCCAACTTTTTAATCTGTAAATTGAGATGATATACAATATATTTCTATTAAAAACAATATTTGAGTTTATCACACATTTGTGTCAAACATGTTTCTGTAGTGTTCATAATCCTTTGTTAATACAGAAGACCCTTAAAGGACAAGTCCACTTGAAAAATAACTTACTTTCAATAAAAGCAGAAAAATCGGACAAACCAATCAAAAAAGGTTTGAGCAAAATCGGATAAAAAAAAAAAAAAGTTATGAATTTTTGAAAAAGTATGTCAAAATATGGAACAATGAGAATCACAACACAAATTGCCAAGATGGTTATCAGTTTGTGACATCATGTCCTCACTATTTATCAATTGCTTTATATAGTTTAATCTCATTAATTTCCCTTGTTATTCCCCAAAACTTGATTTCCCCATGCCTTTGCCCAGGTTATATGATTTGTATCATATTGCGTGCATGACATTTCACAAAATCTTTTATGAACTTTGAAGAATTTATATTATTTTCTGAATATTGTACATTCATAATTATTGATTTTTATATAAATAATTTATCAAAATTTACATTTTTCATGATTTAACCGAGAAAAAAAAACAACTTTATATTAGTGCATCCACACAAAAACATATTACTATCAATCTAACTTGGATGCTGGTGTGAAGAAATGAGATTATTAAGGAGAAAATAGGAAATTTATATCGTCAGTATAAAGAAAATAATGAGTGGATAGTGAGAACATGACGTCACAGACTCACGAGTGAGTTGCCAATTTGTCTAGCGATTTTCTAAGTTTTTCATGTCATTAAAAATTCATAACTTTCTTATTAGTTATCCGATTTTGCTCACACTTTTTTTTATTGGTTAGTCTTATTTTTCTGCTTCTATTGAAAGTAAGCTATTTCTGGAGTGGACTTGGGCTTTAATATTTTCCTGTTTTACTCTCTGATCCCCTCAACCATCTCTCTCTTCCTACTTCCTCTTACCTTCCTCTCCCCTCTCCCTCTAGCCTCCATATCTCTCTTTCTATCCCTCCCCCCTTCCTCCCTCTCTCACTCTCCCTCTCTTATTCTCCCCCTAAATATACAGTGTAGATATGTCTTCTTACTGTAGATCTCGGTTGTCCTCTCTTCTTTCTTCTAATTCATGTTTACATTAACTTTACCTGTTGATGAGGTAGTCCAGGATATTTTCTCATTTGCACGTATATTACACAGGGCAGGTGCAAGAATACTCAAAATGAACAAGTATGATGTAGTAAAAAAAAAAAAGAAATCCATATTATTTTGTAAACCAAAGGTTGTTGTGCCAATAGTAATGTTATACATGAACATATATCCTGTTATTTCATAACAAATTATAAAAAGCAATCAACACACATTTCACAAAACTGTATTTCACTAGACTTGAAAATCAGAGAATACATACATTAATTACATATCAAGATTCATAATAATGCATAGCCAGAATTTTGCCCACGATTTGTACTCCACTGTAGATTTAACCACAAACATATTTTGACATCTTAGTGTAATGGACTAGAACTTGCAGGTAAAAAAAGACAGCAATTTCTAATGTACCATGAATACAATGTAGATTTAGCCTAAAGTGGATTCCAGAATCAATTAATTTTTGTTTGTTTTTGAAATGCATTACTAATTTACTAAACTTAAAAATGGACAAAATCTTGATCACTTTTTACAATGTAGGTTTGTACAATTTGAACAATTTCTGCCGCTTGTATGGAATGTGTACATAAAACTGCCACATGATTCTTCCTTAATGACAAAAAGTCGTTATCTGATAACTTTATTACATTTATTTTTATGGACACCTTGCTTACCAAAACAATGTCTACTGTCATTGTTGAGTAGAGCTTATAAGATTAGAATATTTGTTGAAGGTGAAAATAACAGTTTGTCAAACTTTCCATTAGTTCTTATGATCATAAAATAGCATGGAAAGATTAACACAACAAAAATGAAATTCCTCTCACAATTCTGTTATCAAATTAGACATCAACTTCATAAGCAAATTGATTAAAGAATGCAGCACTCACATGCTTTAAATCAATTTGTTCATCTACTCTCCACAGTTAATTTAATCGTCATATAAGAATGTATTACTCAAAAAAAATCCCATCACATCCATATCAATGCTTGTGTTTTAATTATTTGCCAGTGTCTACATTCATTGAAGAAAAAAAAGGGAACTCTGACCAACTATCATTAATGTGACTGAAATTGAGATCAAATGCATTATTTGATAATGTACAAGCATGTTTTTCCTTATGGTGTTGTTGTATTGGCAATGTTCAGGTTTGTAAGAGCTGCCGTCATAAATACATATTTCAAATATGCCAGGTAATAATTAACCCCACAAAGATGAGACCTAAGAATAATTGTATTGACAACAAAACCATCTCGACTGAATTACAAAGTCGGATTGCCATTTAAAAAATCATCTTCCTTCTTTCTGGAGTGGAACCTGAAGCACACAGTCCTTGCTCAAAACCCACATAACGTCTGCTGAGTTCTGGGACCCATTTCACAAAGCCTTTTTTCAATGACAAATGACAAAAATCAGTGACAAATCTTCTGATAACAAATCAGAAGCAAGGATTTCAGTAGCTTATAACAAAAACTGTCATTAGTCACTGATGACAAGTTTTGTGAAATGGGGCCCAAGCCCTCCTGGCTCTCAGCAGCTAATATAATGTACATTGTTCATGTAAAATCTGCTCATAAGAGTCCATGCCTGTGACATTCAAACCATCAGTCAACGTTGACCCTGATGACATACATCTTCTTAGTGGTCAAGATAAACAGCCTCTCGTTGGTCGCTTGCAGTCCAAGAATGTCGTCGATGGCGTCCAGACTGATGACCTGCTGCTTGGCTATCTGTCCGACCACACGTCCACTCTTGCGATTCCTGAGCGGACTAGGGATATCTGCCGGTTGTCTGTAGATATAACCATGCTTGGAGCAGTCGCACAGGACACAGTAGGAAGTGTCCGGGGAGCAGCTGGCAAACTTGCAATTTCTCTTAGAGGCTTGAACATAGCCTAGGGCGTTGAAGGTAGCCTCGTGTTGCCATGGTGATGGAGATTCAGCCGTTGTCGGCCTGGGTTGCCAGACCACGCCATCAACATCGTGGCGGAGACAGATACAGGGTGGATGACTGGGTTGAAGCGGCGCCTTGAAGATACGTTGGTAGCTCGATATACAAGTCTGTCAAAGTTAAAGAAAGTTACAAAAAAAGTGCTAATATTTTGAACTTATTCATTTCAAGCACATAGTTGGAATAATGTTGTGCCAAATGATTGTACTTGCTGGGGCCAGTGCCTATCAAAAGCATTGCAGCTAACTGGTACCATTTATATCAATTCTTTCCTTTAGATTCATTATTCATATAATGTTTTTTATTATCCTACCCGGTTTTTCTATTGACTTCAAATCTAAATAAAGCCTGAACTAAATCTGAAATAAATCATGAACTCCCTTTTTTATGTTCTAAGCTAACTGGTGAAGAATCACTCAACATAGTGCAGTATTGTTTAGTTTTCAAGTAAGTGAATGTTGTAGCAAATACCTAGAAAAAACAATTTGGAATATTGTAATGCAATTACTGAATAATAATTTCAATAGGAGTAGATCAACAAACTGAAATATATTGACAAATGTACAAGTTGTACATTCTTTAAAAATTATACAACTTGAGAAAACAATCGAGACCATACTAGTGTTTTATTAGGATTGGTAAACAATAAAAAGTTTAATTTCTTAAGTATATAGAGTCGATCATAAGGAACGGTGACACAAGTTGGTCAGAAGATGGAGCAAAGAGTTTATTCAGATAATAATAAAACATGAAGATACAAACACAATAATAATAATAAGTTGAAGTTTAGAGCAAGTCTGATACTCTGTTGATGTCCTGAATGTACTCTCTAAATTGTCTGATGAATATCTGACTTGATTCCAGAAGTGAACCCCTTTCATAATGGGTACACCCTCTATTGAGAGTTGGTCAACTCTGAGTCCATGACCGAACATAAAGCTTAAGTACATCATAACTTTTACTCAGTAGTGGGGGAGTGGGTTTTTTAATCTGAAAGGGTGGTGTTGTGAATAAGACAACCATAATGTGACCAGTCATGAACTTACTTGGAAGTTACAAAGTTTTGAAGAAATGTGAAGTTTGTAAACATTTTAAGGTGGATGTTTACTTCATGTAGAGGTATTGATACAGTATTGATAAATCATTGGTCTTATCATAACATAACACTAGTAATGTTAACCACTTACCTTGTGTGAGATGGTGTGTTTGTGTCCATCTATCCTATAGATACAGACTTCATTCTCTACATTCATATCGCACTCCTCCAAGTCTTGTGGACTGATTCCTGGTTGACCTCCAATGTTACCGCTAGGATCAGGACCCTGAAAGAGAGGGGGTATGGTGAGAAAATATTTCCAAGATCATAACTCATAACTTGAAGTTACAAGGAATATCTATAAAACAAACACGTACAGGTAGGCTGAAATCTTCAAATCCCAGAGCAAAATTAATTTGGGAGAAATCATTTTTATAGTTCTATACAAATATGTAGATTACTTCGTTTTGAGACGCTTGCTCAGCTGATTAGTAGGTCTGATTAATAGAATTATACTCTTGTTTCAAATTCAATAATCATCTCATCGCTGGTTTTTACAAACTGACATATACCCATAGGCTGAAATAAACGTGATATCATCTGTTTAAAATAAGAATCAACAGGTAGCTAACTCTGTGCTAAAGTATTTGAGTTAATGCTCTTCCGACTCCAAGCAGACCATATGTCAGTTTATGAAATCAGCGATGATATTCAAAGGAATTGGGCATCTTTACCTCAGATTCTAAACAAAATCTTGGATTTAGCTCATGCTGCAATCATAATTATAAACCTTTAGGTCAGTCAGGAATCCCATGACTTTTACAAGGCGATTGCCCATCTGATTATCAAGACATAATTTATGATTGGAATTCGAAATTTCAAAAACCGTTTTCCCAACGGTTTTTATAACACTACAGTCTATTCGGGAAAATGAGTATGGTAAAACCTGCCACTCAAATTTTTTTACTTTTTTGAGGCACTTCATGATCATTTTGAAGCACAATTTTTGTAGGGCTTCAATATTACACCATAACACAGACGCTTATACATGTAGCTTGTAGGGCCATACATCTCAGATTTGGCATTTAAAAACTGCCAACATACCAGTGCATCTGAGGTCAGATGAGCCAGTCTTTCATGGATCAGTCTTGCTTGATCTGGATCAGCGACGTACTCCCCTCTCGTGTTCCCGACCACCACCTCCGTCCACATGAAACCTTCATTTTCCTTGGCCAGCATGACATCCAATCTGAAACAATCATGAATATGACAGAATTGAATTTTATCAGGGAAGGAATTAATCATTCATGACTTCTCGTGTTCAGTTTTATAAAAGTTCAGGTGGTGGAAACATGTAAACTCTGCTATTTATGGGCTTGTTACTCCTTTTCCTTTTAGTGTACCTTATTCCTTTTTTTCTTCTTTTTCTTCTGTATTTGTCTCAAATTTTATTGAACTTGTATACAATTATTTGTCAAATTACTGCCCTCTTGCGTTTGATTATGTACGTCTCTCTAGAATAGACATATTCTGTCCTGATCATTATTCCACGTCACCAGGAACCTATTCTTTACAATCCACGCTTTTCTATAGGTTCCTGCACATTTCACAGTTTTGTACTTTTCTTGTCTGGGTTTCTGTTAACATGATAATAGTTGTCAAACATATTTGGTGATATATAATTTTGTAGTCTGCTTAACTTTTGTCAATTACAATGATAATTTTTTTTGAAATTATGAAACAATATGTCTTTTATTTATATTTTGTTATCCAATCCAATCCAATCCAAAAGATATTTGATATAGCGCCTTCTCCTTGCAGTTACAAAGCGCTTCTGTGTTAAATCTGCATGTGAGATGTGAAACCAATAAACTCAAATTCAAACTCAATATTATTTCATTCCTGTCAAACCATGTCATCCACTGTTGTCTTCTCTAACATGGCACTTACTTTCTTTTCTCTAGGGTCCATGTACAGCAGGCGATATCAACCAGTCTATAGAGGGCGCCAGACAGGAGTTCTTTACCGTTCTTGATACTGATATCAATCCTATCTGCCTCCATCACCATATGAATGTCAGGCTTGGAGACGGTTTCCGGGACGATGAATGTGAGGATGACGTCTTCCCCAGTCTGTGTCCATGTGAACAGTGGTAATGGCGTTTCTGCAACAAAGAATATATATTCAAATCTGTGTTACGCTCCCCAGGGAGTGGAGAATGTGCATACATTGTGTGCGGGTAAGCCTAAATCAGATGACCGGGGTAATAATATATATCTCTGTAAAGCGCTTTGAGAGGGTCTTCGGTTCTGAAAAGCGTTATAAAAGAACTACCGGTAGCTATTATTAGTTCCCACCTGTATAGAAATACCACCTTTTGATAATGACCATGTATTTGTTTGTATCCCTTGAACAGTTTTTTTCTCATTAAAATGTGTACTACATGAAATTGGTCCTAAAGATAACCTGCTTAAAAAGCTTTTTTTTTTCTTGTCTCCGTAGAGTGTTCTTCATGTACAGGTTACAATGTGAATCAGATCATTCATACTCTACAACACAATTCACGAATCGAAAGAAAATACATAAATCATTCAAAATCTAAAACATCTACCTCAAAATATTACATTTCCAACATCACTGCAATGACAGATAATAGCTCTCATTTCATTCTGTAGTAAATCTATCTTTTGCGCTTTTTTCAAGTGCTCATAAAATAGCTGGCCTATAAAACTATATATTTTTCTTCTGCTTTTGTGGTATTGGATATTTCGCTTTTTTAGAAAAGTGAATGTCCATTGTCAGCTGTAAGATATTGAATAAAGTTGTGGTGATTTTACTTCAGATAAAGATAAAGCAAAGAATATCTACCGGTAATCAAATTCATGAAAACTTCAAAAGTAAGAAACCACAAGTTTGATCTTCAATAGTAATAAACACCCATAAATCATGTTTACTATTCTAATCCTTCATCTAATCATACATTAATTAAGAAATTAAGAAAGCACATATCAAGGGTTCAGTGACTCAAAGACGTAACTCAATATTTTGCCAAAATGAGTATTTGATATCGAAATGTGCAGAAAATGTGGACACAAAGACTTAACTCCACCCAACACCCCTTTGAAGTCAATGGTTAGTGAAACATAGACCTAACTCCTTACGGCCCAAGTGCTCAGTGACACATAAAAACTTGTTCTCAAAATGGCCAAAATGGAACTATGTCTTTGTGTCACTGAATCCTCAATATATCTCTTACCCTCTTCCTCCTTCTCTGCCTCATCATTGACTTCTGCCTTGACAGGATAGAGAGAGTCTGAGATGATAACAAAGTCAGCTTCACTGGCTACAAACAACCCTTGGGCTCCCTCCTCTAATCCACAGTACACAGGAGCTGTCTTCCCTCTCAGTTCTCTTGTGTTTTCCACCTCAAACTCTGCTTGGTCTGGAAATAGCACAAGATTTAAACCAAAAAAATTTAACAGTCAGGCAACAATGAAAGATCAAGTCCATCGATGAGTTAAAGGACCCTTTCTGACTCGAATCTATGAAGCTTATTACCATAATACTTTTATTAATAGACCATCGTGGGCGATCTAACATTTACTCAACCCTCAATTTTGTCGGAGGAATAGGGAGGGTCTTTTTTTGTGATTAGATTTTAGATCAGTTAGGGTAAGGATTAGAGTTGAGTACACTGTTGGGTTTAAGCTAGAAAATAAGAATGAATACCAGTAAGTATTCCAAATTTCACTAGAGAGAAGATGCTTTCATAGCACATATCCCCATGATAGGGAAGTTTGGGTCAATACATGTATGTTAATTAGTTGCTCAGAAAATCATTTCTATATTTTGCATTTTTTGAAATGCACGTATATCTATCGTTTAACTATGCTTCTGTGTCACTTTTTTGAGGAAAAAAGAGGGAAATCTACACATTTTATACATGCCTTTTGCAAAATATTGTAGCGTAATATACACGTATTTTGTATGTTTATCATTGTACACAAAGAGGGCATTAACACTCACTACAGTATGTAATATTATGAGTAATTGCCATCACGGCTCTAAACAGACCATTTCTTCTTACCAACTGTCTTTTTCAAGGTGATCCATTCCATGTATGTTTCATAATCACTTTTGTTACTCTTCGCTGTAGAACCCTCTCCATTTTCTTCATTCACACGGCATGACTTCTCAACATGAAGCAACAAACAGTCTACTCTGATCTCAGACTCCTCCTCTCTGCATACAGCATGCTGTAAGATGGCCGGAGCACCTCCACACACTTCTTTCTTGAATATCACCTGGTTTTGGGGAAGAATTTAATAAAAAGTACATAGATACAATAGGAATTGTTTTCAACATGATTTAGATGGACACTGTATATAAAAAAAGATGTTCATATTTCTTCATCGTAACCCTACAATTTTCTTTTTCATAATGTAAATGAGCACAAGAGTTTAAAAGGTACAACTTAACAAAGTTTTCATAAACTGGGCCAATATCTGTAATACAACATTATAAATGGAAATCATGCAGTTAAAACAAGGAAGTTAAAAGTTTATTTAATAAATGCTATTCTGATTAGAGATAGCTCATACAGTGCTCATTTTCAAAATAGTGTATATTTTTATATGAAGAAGTAACTAATAAGAAGTGATTTCTAAGAAATGATTTCTTTTCATTCCAGAAGATATCAAATCAGAATTCAGTCCAGTTAAGCCATGAGAGTCAGAAAAAAGGGCATTAACTCCAAGTCAAATTTACTATTTTAGTTCTCAGCAGTCAATATCAAGTAATTAAAGTAGGAGTAGTTAGTTACCTTCCACTGTGTGCACTCAAATTGGTCTCTGACCCCAGTGTCTAGTACATAAAGGAGCCCCACCCCATCAGACAACACGCACAGATGAGGGGAGGGGAAGGAGAGAGAAACACTGTGTCTTGACCCTGCCCTCCTGGTCACCCCCTCAGGAATGGTGAAGATGACTGTAGGTTCAGTCAGCTGTGATTCCTATAGGATCCAATAGTTATCACATAGTTTATTAAACGGCATTTGCAAGATTTCACATAATTCATCTGCTCAGAGCAAGAAGGGTATTAACCCTTTCAGGATAGGATTTATATTTAAGGCTAAATTGATCACATATTGTTCTTTAAATTGGCAACAATACTATTTTTCTTTTATCACTACAATAAGACAACAAATCATGTCTCTGAAAACAATATATACACGGGCGGGAACGCTGTCGAAATGTTGAATACATGGCCGGTTTTTATTAAAAAACAACGATTGTAATCCCTCAACTTGTTGCCAATTTAAGGATTTTAAAACTTATTTTCCTTCATAAAATTCCTAGCATCAAATGCAATATAGTCTTGAAACAAAAATGGATGCAGTGTGTGGAGAAATTGTTGCCCTTTTCCTCTTGTGTATGTGGTATATTTTTTAGCGCTCTGAATCAAAAGTAATTGAGCGAAACCACACAATGTGGAGTAATAATCAGTAATTGTCATGAAAGGGTTAGCTAAGTGTCAACAGCTGTGAGTGAATACTCTCCTTGTCCTAGCTCTCAGGAGACAGTACATGTATGTAGCTCAATAGACAGAACAAATTAGTGCATTCTAAGTCAAATACACAAGAATATGGAAGTAGATATATCAAGTTATCAAGTTATCTCATATTTCAGACTTCTTACCACCTCCCCCCCCCCCCCCCCCCCATGAAATCCCATCTTTTAGTTTTAATCCAAGTGGACAACAGATACTTTATTTCAATTTCATTTCTTTTCATAGTCTCCCTTTTTTCCCTAGTATATTAAAATTCCTTTAAGTTGAACCCTTGTCAATGATTCAGATTTCAGATTACCAGAACAACTCTCAGCTGCAGAAGCCTCCATTCTGTATCAACATAGTAAACACAGTTGGGATTCCACAGGTCACCGGTTAAATAGTTGGTCAAACCAAATGCTTGCATATGCTGGAAAGTATACTCGTCATCTCTCAGCTTCACTTCATCAACCCCTGAAACAAAAAGGAAGAGTGGCGAAGAAAAAAATAAATCAATTACACTAAATAGATCTAGATATAGTGATCATTAATTTAACTGGAAAGTGAACATTGAATTTATTCTCTGTAATTCAATCTTACGGGGACAAATGATCAATTGCAAAAATAATTTGAATTCTTTTTTCCATTTTTCTAACATCGGTAGATTAAGTTGAAAAGGTTGTATTTTACTGCCTTTTATGATCGATTTTCACTAAAGTACAGATTTTGAGTGAACTCAGTTGATTTTTGTAAAGTGGTGTTTGAAATTTTGAGAATCAATAGAATCTAGAGGTCGTCTAAAAAGTTTTTAATACACAACAGGTCCAAGGAGGCGAGTTGGCTCAGTCGGTAAAGCGTCTGCCTGTCGAACCAAAGATCCCAGGTTCGACTCCCACCCAGGCGGATGACTGAAGCCTGCGTTGTGTGTTAACGTGCCCCTTCCCTTGTTCATAGATGCAGGTTATGTCAAGTGGAAAACACTCCGTCCCTCGGATAGGACGTTAAATGGAGGCCCCGTGTACAGGAGAGTCACAACCCTTGCACGTTAAGAACCCATTGCACTATTCGTATAAGAGTAGGGGGAAACCCCGGTGTAATGGTCCACCTGCACACCCCAACCAGGCCGAGTATACGGCATCTGCAAGAATCTTGAGTATTGAAGGAGGCAGATTATCTTGAAGAAGAAGAAGAAGAAGGTAGATCTATACAAAGCTGCGCTTGTGCGTTAACCCTCACCCTTACGCCAAAATTAGTGCACGGGACTTAGTAGTAATTTTGTAGCTATCAATCGTCATAAATTAACCTCACCAGATTTGATCAAAAGAGAATAGATGGGCAGAGGGTCAAGAGATAATTTGTAGCCATCAAACTCGCTATCAAGAAGGTCTCGATTCACTTTCAGAACTTCAGTACAGGCAGCCATTTCGATTTTGTCCAAATTGAAACTCATGCAAAGGGTCAGTATGGAACGCTATGCGTGGTACGTACGAAGTTGTGTATGATGCTGTCTACAGTCCGAACACGTTCCACAAAACACGTAGGTCAGTCGGTGGGGATCAGAGGGAGTGGTGCATGGGGGTGGTATATGTTTTTCATGGTTGTCGTTAGATTATACACAACAAATTGGTATAATTAAACTATGAAGAGTATTACTGACATGAATCTGCGTGTGATGGTGACAGAGAGACAGCCAGTATTATGTATAAGTAGAGAGAGAAAGAGAGAGAGAGACCACGAGGGAAGGGGTATCCTGTGTAAAAAAAAAAGAGACAGAGAGACATAGAAACACAGCGTGAGAGAGAGAGAGAGAGAGAGAGAGAGAGAGAGAGAGAGAGAGAGAGAGAGAGAGAGAGAGAGAGGGGGGGGGGGGACAGACATACAGGCTGACAGACAGACAAGGGTAATTTATATGAAGCACAATTAGGTTGATGGCGAAAGCTTAAATCTTAAATAGATCTATGCCTCTATGGACAGCAATAATTGACAAGGATAATATTTTTTTTTTAACCGAGGCCTGTTATATGCTTGTCTTGATCAAATGTATAGAAATAAAGAAATCAAAAGGCATCAACCGGGGACATCAACTCCATACGAATTTGGCTTATTGAAATTCAGTATTTAAAAAAAAAAGTCCTCCCCAAAAAGTCAAAGAAACAAATTGATAAACGTTTCAGTGCAAATTAAATCGGGCGACTTTGAAATTAAAGATCATAGTGGGATTATAGTGAGATAAAAAAATTCTCCGTTTTTAATTTTTGTCGCAAATGCACAGCAATTGAAAGAAATATATCGATAATTTTAATCACAAATACTTCGTAAAGTTGCACTTTAAGACATGTTTTCGTTTGACTCGATCGTTTCCTATAATGAGAAGAATGATTATAAATCTGCTGTAAGCCTTTAACGATGATGGCCAAAATCATGATCGTGTAAATTTTGTCATTCTTAGTACAAATTAAGAATCCTTACGTTGTAGATGTTCTGTCAGCAATGAGGCTAAACAAAGATCACCAAGTTCCACGATTTCAAAGGCGAAATACGTTTGAAGCTCCGCCAAAAACTTTATATAAGGCTTACAAAAAAAAAGGTTGTTTTGCCTTTTAGGTGCCAAAACATGATGGGTCGATCGGTCGGATTTTTTTTGTTAAAGTCGACCGTAGATTTCAAGATTTTGGGTTCGGTCTCAAAGGGCAATACAACATTTTTTGTAAAGGCCTAATGGCGGTTGCCTTTTTTGAAATCATTTTTCTTTTTTACGAATTTATTCCTCAGCAAACACTATTTTCGCGTGTGGATTTCATGAAAATTAACAAAAATCCCTACACTCTTACTCACTCCTCAATTGGCTGCCTCCTTTCTCGCATATCCATCGCGGGCCCCTTCTTTTACGAGACGGCACATCAGTATAATCCTCTTTAGATCCGCTCTACCACTACACCACGGTGTCGTGCGCAAAATTCTGCAACGTAACAATATAAGGTATACGCGAAGGCATTGTTTCGTCATGGTCAATGTGATCCAGTTACTCGTTGCTGATTGGTTAAAAGTTTTATTGCGTCACGTCTTTCTCTTTGGAAACCACGCTCTGTATACAGAGATCTTAACCACAACAAATCGTACACTTTCTGATTTATCGTGCAGTGGAGAACAGATAGTGTTTTCATTTTTCATTTATTTTTACATGTGTAGCCTCCTCCGAATTTCCTAAAGCGAATTTGAAGCAGTTTTGCTTAAAATTCAATTTTCTTTGCTATTTACTAAATTACTAACAATATCATCTGATTAGATTTTAAGGTGAGTAAAAGAATGAGATGCATTAAAAAAAAATGATAAAACCAAACATGCAATCATCACCTATAGTCAAGTACATATACACTCACACCATCACACGCATTAACATTATAGCAATAAAACGTTGACTCCCGAAATAGGGGGTAGTGACCACTCGTTTTTTTTTTTTTGTTGTTGTTGTTTTTTTTTGGTGCTCAGCGAGGAGGAAGGAGGGAAAGTGTCCATTTTTTAAACTCATCATCCACCCCCCTTGAGCACAGGGAAGGGGGCCCGTCTTCTTTTTTAACAAAAAAGGGTAAAACAATTTTGTATAATCTGCCAAACACGGTGGAAAACACGACACCAGTTTCCCAATAAACAGTTTTTTTTCCTCATTACATTCTATAAAATAGACAACACCAAAAATAAAAATAAAACCTAACCATATAGAAAAATGAATAATTTTGTTCGGATTTTTCTTTTTGGTTCTGTTAACGAGATCGATAGAGTGATGATGGTTTCAATGATGATGAAGTGAAGGACGATGGTGATAATGGTGATGATAGTGATGATGATAATGATGGTGATGATTGTTATGATGATGGTGATAACGGTGATGTGATGATGATGGTAATAATGATTATGATGGGGATGATTGTGATGTTGATGACGATGATGATAATGGTGATGATAATAATAGTCATGGTGATGATTGTGATAATGGTTGTGATGACGATGGTGAAGATTGTGATGGTGATGATGATGGTGATGAAGGGCAGATTGCTACTCGGAAGACTCGAGGGCCCGTGCCGAATGTATAGCATTAATTTAGTTGGCAAGGAAATGGCGATGGGTGTCGGCCACACCCAAATTTCACACCCAAAGTACTCATCCTAACTTCTTTAGGCAATTGAAATGTGTTGAGTCGTAAAACATCAGTTTCAATTTTTTAAATCATAATTCACGGCGAGAGGGGGAACCCTTCATCAATGCATGAAACCCGCTCTACACCCACCTCATGATGGCGGTGTCATCCATCTGTTTTCTTCAAAACTAAGATCCGTTTGTGGGTCTGGTCGTGTGGAAGGGGGAGAACATTCACGCAAACCTGTCCTCGTCTCTATATTAACAGTGTATTATTGATTGATTGATTTTTTGTCTTTCTCTTTTACTTTAAAACGGTATAAGAACTAATACCTGTGGATCACAACTCTTTTTTTTTTATATAGCTGGGAGGGGGACCCTTCACGCAAACCTACCCCCCATCTATATATCCAGTGTCTTATTGATTGATTGATTTTTTTCTTTCTCTTTTCCTTTATATATAACTTTATAAGAACAACAACTTGTGCGTCATTACTAGCCCGGGGATTTGTTTTCTTCTCACTATAAGTTGTCTCGGGAAAATGCATTGTCTAAGAAAAAAATATACAACATTTGGAATGTAAATTATACCAAATCTGAAGTTGAAGGTGAGATTGGTTGGAACAAAGTACACATGGCCTAGATCACCAAGATAGTTGGCTTGATTATTGTGCAAAGTAAAATACGAAGTCTCTACCTGTATAGTGCAATTAAGAAATAAAGTTGTAAGAGATCGTTCAGTATAAGATATCGGCCTATATCAAAACTTGTCTATCTGACTGTTGGTATTTTTCATGTGATGTTTCTTTTAAGTTTAATTGCAAATGCGCATGATCATTAGGGAATCGCAATACAATAAAAGTCTGCTGATATGGGTTCCTATTAAAATGTTTAGGAGTGTACCTTCAATGTTGAATTACAAAAAGCCTTAGACATTTTACAATAAACCGATCAAATCATATAACGGCATGGAAATAATTCTTTTTCTCCTTCTACAAGCAAATCAATACGAGTACGACAATAATACATTATCTATCCCGCAAGCAATTATATATCCACTCCTGTACTATTGATTTGGTATCTAACTGTTTAGCAACGCGCTATTGTATTCAGCGTGCCTACGAGCTCTGTGGGGGGAATTGTACGGGTTAGAGCTTGAAGAACCGATTTTATATTTGTTCACTCGCGGTCTAGCTGTGTCATTTTAAACAGCACGCCTATTGTTGAAACGTATAGTGCTTGTATTTACATTGTCTGATCTTGTGTTTGAAGTGTGCGGGAACTCTACTGTAATATAAAATGGTTCGAAGTTCGGTCTGTCATCGTTATGGGAACTAAGCAAGTTGAACTTGACTACAGCTAGTGCTATGTAATTGCACGTAACGGGGTGAATATATACCGACCTGTTGGCAAATATATATTTCATATAATACTCGGCTACGAGTGGCAGTATGTGAGGATTATAATGATATCTCCGAGAGTTCTTGACAGCTTGTAGCTTCACGTTGCCAAGCACTGAACGTCTGCTTGAGCGCTTAGATAGCAGGTGTGTATAACGGTATTATTTTACGGATTATGGACCGTTATGTTACATTACTGTAGGCATGTTATTGTACGGCCGTTGATGTGAATATTAAATATATTATGTTACTTGTAGTCGTATTATATCGGCTGCATAATTTACTCCATTTGCCTATTTTAGCCCAAAAAACATTATGTATTTAGCTGAAATGTAGCTGTACGTGATATGCTTGAAGTTGAGCATAATAATGTCCGCTTAATATTGATTTCACTATGATTACGTTAAATGTAATTGAGCTAAACTATTGTTGAGCGTTCATAGTTTAGTTACGAGGTGTTCATATTTCTTTTTCTATCATATACTATAGTACTAAAATTCATCATTGTAACTGCAAATGGGCATTTCTACAAGCTACAATACCTATTCAGTACTGTCTATAATCACTTATGCTGCGAATTATGGAACCCCAAAATATAAAATTCCTTTTTTACTTTAGCAAGTAACCCAAGTTTCCAGAAGTAAGAGTTGTATATTTCCTTTTAAGAAATAAATAGATTATGCCAGTTATGATCTGTATAGCTATCTTGATAACCAATTACCTTCGTTCATTTTGTTCAATAATGATCAAGGTGGGATTTGAAAAGGTTGATATCAAATAAGCAATTGCTGAACACATATTTTAAGAGCATATTCCACTTGTCTGTTTTTTTTAAAAGAGTGGATTCCACTCCAAACGAAGAACGTATGACTACCCAAAATGTTCAGTTTACTCTATACTATCTCTCTCCCTCGATGTATTTCTCTCTTCATCTCTCCCTCTCTTTCTCTCTCTCTCTCTCTCTCTATCTACCCATATCTATCCATCTACCTATATATATATATATATCTATTTATCAATCTATCTGTCCTACCCCATTTTATTTCTTATTCTCTTCTATCATTAGCAGTAACAGATTACTTTTTGTTTTATTTCTTTCTTTTTTTGTCTCAGTCTATGTGTATTCCGTTTATGTAATTTAATTAAATGAACCTACACGCAACAAGGCAAGCTTTTACGGAGGTTTACTCTTCTTTTTCGCATGTAATGATTAACAGAATATCCTTTCATGTCATCAATTACTATGATTCAGGATTAGTTACTTCCATATTACTTCAAGAATTGTTTGTGAAATGCATTATGCTTTTTTAATTTTCATAGAAATAAAAGCATCCAGTCAATCAATCAAAGTGGATTTCCAATTTTGTATATAGTAAGCAGAACTACGGTCTTTTCTATCATGTTCAAGAGATTCAGTTGGTAGATAAGGACAATTAGGATGGGTACAAAAATATTAAAAGCTCCAGCAAGTTTTATCGATCCAGTCTTCGACACCCATGGTCTTATTTTTTTTTTACTCTTTCATTGTTGTATAAGATTGTAATCTCCTCATCCCATTGAACTTTGAATAGAACCACTTGAGATCATTGCCAATTTCAACAATCAATATCTAAATCAATAGTGAGACCCTAACGACGCAAACTTAATGATAACAAACATATCGCATATCATCAAATTAAAGATTCGTAAATAATAATATGCATGCAGTAATGAATGATTAATGTACTAGATCTTCCTTCCTTGAAATGATATCAAAAGGATACGTATTCGAGGAGGATCTAGGATTTGCAATTTTGTGAAAGGGGGGGGGGGGTCGGAAGAACATAGCAAACAAGCATGAATGAATGGAATGTTAAAATATATCACATCATTTTGGGGGTATACAATTTGAAAATGGATGCAAAACCATAACAACTAAAGGGCACCTATACTTATGGTACACTAATTAAGAGTTTTCAAAGTTAATATATAGGCCGGTTGTGCCCCTCCCCTATAATTATCTGCCAGTATACACAAAGGCAAAGCTATGTGAGTTTGAAGACAGACGGAAATAATCTCTTACACAATCATGTAATACGTTAAATGGCTTCTTTTACATGTAACATGGTTTCTTTTTGATGGACCGTTAACTTCACTTTTCTTGTCTCTTCCTATATATCATGACAAGTCTCATCGCAGCGAGTTGTAAACAACATGCGAAATACCACTGAGATCTTAGTATCAAATGACTAGTTTCGATTCCATTTAGATTATGTTCCCCATGTATTCAGATGTGTACACATCTACCGTAAGCCCCTGTATAGAGAGATGAACTATTGCATTCACATGTTACCATGGTTACGAGTTATAGGCATATTGGATATCTATAATCTAAATGCAACTGCATTTTGGTGTGTCGGCTATGCCCCTTTATGCGGGTGTTCACTAAGTGTATTTGTGGTAGAAAGATAGACCTAGTACATGGACATTTATAAATACATCTCCTTGCCATGATTTCTGTTTTTTAATTTCTATTTCAAAGTGAAAATTACAGTCATATCATGAAATAGGGGCCTATAAATACAATCATAGAGTAGCTCTATTATAATATAATTATACCCTATCCTATTCAGTTTATAGTTTGAAGACGAGTTGAAGCATTGTAAGATTGCACTGTATATAATAGGGTACGCAAAATAAAATTGTGGATTTATTTCTTTTCTTTTCTCTTTGGTTTACTTTTACCCAAAGTTAAGAGTTTCTATCATGTATCAACAACAAAAAAAATATTTCTCTATGATACCACGTACCAGAGCTGACAAGTTCTTGTCAACTCAACGACGTCGTTATGTTATATAAACGTACCTGATTATCTTAAATTGTGCCACGAACTAATAAACTATCATACAACTTGGCCAGTTTGATGTCATTCGTATGATAACATGCCTGAAGTAGGTGGGGTTGTGGTGATCTTTTAGTTGCTAATGGGTAAATGGGGTTAACTTGAGAGATGTTTAGTAATACAAAATCGAAGATATAGTAACGAATGCAGATGTACTTAAGCTTTTCGTTTTGCACAGAGTAAATTGGAAGAATGAACAGAAAGCCGAAATATTATATTGTCTGATTTCGGCTTTCTGTTTCTAAAAGCTTAGATATACATATCTGTATGTGTTGCTATTCTTAAGTAGAAGTTTCAACCCAAATCATATAAATGTAGATTTAATTTATATTTCGAGGTCTTTGTTGATTAGAAGGAAAAAATTGAAATCGAATCTCCACATTAATCATAATTTTGTAATAGAGAAAATATGCAAATTCTGGGCATGATGATTGATGTTTATGTTTTGAAATTGATAATATCAATGCTTATAAATCGAATGTAAGCCCAATGTTATGCTTGATAATGCATATGCAATGCATTGCTTCATGGTAAACATAAGCTTGCATTATATTTTGTTACTCTCTTTAGTCATTACAATTTACGTTTTAGATATATACTTTCCTATTTTTTCTCACTTTACGCCTAAGAATATATCCCTCTTGAGAACAAAGGGGTCAGTTTGGTTCTTTTGGTTGTTTTTATTGCTGTTTTTCCCCATGTAAAAGAACAAAGGATAATATTTCAAAATACATTCGAAGTGAATTTTATTTGGACCTGAATAGCTGTTCGATTATCCATATACTGCTTTGTGCCAGGACCCAGAGATTATTAGCAAAACAATGAACACAAAACCATTTTCGACACAACGGTCGTCCTGTACAACGGTCGTGTTTTTGTTTGTTAAGCAACATGATTTCAGTTATCTTGACATTTGACAGATTCGTCTTGCATGGACACGATCAGAAATCGGTCTTAGAAAGGAAAAAAAAAATCAATATCCCCATTCCATTTCTCCACAGAATCAAAACACAAGTTATAAATTGAATAATACCTGACACTTTCAATCAATATCAACCGGCCTTGTCTCAAAGTTTGAGGTTTAGTTGGGTTTGGTGTCCATTATACTGACCTTACATTAGACAATGGTATCTATAATTGGACTCAAGTGACAAACTTAAGATGTAAAATGGAATGTGGTTTCGTCTGTCAGAGACCAACATCGTGTATATTAGGTCACCATCATCTGCAGCAACCGCAGATCTTGCAAGAAGAGTGGCTCTCGTCACGTCTTCTCGTTTGGTGCTGCAGAAGTCTAGTGCTTTAATGAGTACTGTTGTCGGCTTTTGTCGAGTTGAAAAAACATGGACACTTTGCTTCTCTTAAGGAAACTTCTTCCCGGAAATTAAATAGAAGAAGTAGGGTTAAAGAGCTGACTTCGTAATATCTCATGTATGGTGCTGAAGTACAAAAACATATTTGAGCAGATGTCATGTTTATAGTTTCATCATCTTCAGCAACCGCACAACTTGGTAGAACAGCGCATCACGTCCTTAACTTTGCTTCTGCCGAAGTAGTGCTTTTAGCGAATCCTCCGCAGATGCTTTATTATATTGACGAAGACAAAAAGAGGAAAATCTCTTCTGGAAGGCTGAAAGTACTAACCTCTGAATATTTTGTGTGTTTTTGGTTAGTATCTGTGATCTTATAGACAGTTTGATCTGTATTGTATTCTGTGGTAAATTAAACTGACATTACCATGACATCGACTGACTATGTATACCACCTAAGGTTATTATCTTTTTAATGGTCAGACTCTTCAAGCCTTTTTTTGCCCTCAAAATCTTTAAGACGGATGAATATAGTCTGATGTTTTGCAATACTATAATTATGGGAGTACAAGTTTTTACTTAACTGCTTAGAAACCAATGCAAGTATAATTTTGAATGTAAATAGGCAGCGATAAGTAATGCGTTTAAGCAGCGACTTGGCTTCAAACCCAGGACCTCCATCTACCACTTCTCCATGTAGTAACATATTGTATTCTCATCATCTTGCAGAGTTTCCACATGCCGCACCTAGTGCCCACCATGAAGAAGGTCGGCGTCCGGGATGCCAGCGGCAGGTTCATCGACACGTTTGACCTGATGTTGCAGCTGCCCTGGGGAGCTCTCACCACCGTGGTCGTTCACCATGACATGGCCATCCACCAGCTCAAGTCCGCCATCGAGTTCTCGGTCGGTCTCCCATGCGACCTCCTGACGCTGGGATACAAGCGCCATGCTTCCCTTGCCGATAATATGACTCTCAGGGAGATGAGATTGATACCAGGTATAAAATATATGATATATATATTTTGATTTTTAAATAGGTCTTTGAAATTAAATTGAAGTAAAGAAATAAAGGGGTTTCGCCCTGGGGGGGGGGGGGGGTGGGGTGCTGATGAAACCTCGAAACCCCTACCCATTTTTAAGGGTCGATTTGGCGGATTTTTTTTTCTCGAAGTAAAGCCCATTTTGTGGACCCATATTTAGGGGTATTTCTGTTGAAAGTGGGACCCATGTTTAAGAATTTGTGTGTGAAAAATTTACCCAAACGTGGCACCCCCCGTATGTCTTAATATATGAGTACCCCCCCCCCCCCACCCCCTTTTTTTTTTTTTTTGGTCTCAAAATTTCAAAATTTGACATTTTTCTTCGTTGGGGGGGGGGGGGGGTAAGGTCATCTTATTTAGGTTAGCCGTGGGGATTTTTTTTTTTTTTTTTTAATAATAAAAAACAAAACAAAAAACAAAAACAAACAAACAAAGGGGGGGTTTAGGTTTTTTTAGGGGGGTTTACATACATTAAAATACCAAAGGGGGGGGGGGGGGGTTTGAACCCCCAACCCCCCCCCCCCCCCTGCGTACGCCCCTGGTAACATGTATATTCTACTTTGATGTTTTCGGAACAAACATTATGTTAAGAGCAAGTTAGGGACATCACTTGGAAAAAACAAGGGAAACGCTCTCGGCGGTCTCGCCTGCATAACGCAATTCAATATGATAAACCAGAACGTTAATGACGTAGCGCTCATCCGCATCTCACTGATTCTCGCAACAACAAATATCGTAAATTTTATGTGGTACACTTTTGAACTGGTCAAAAAATAAAAATTTGATGCCCTGGAAGGTACATAATTTCATTTCATTTGCATAAAGTACCATAAATAATCAATAGAGCAAAATCTCACAATTCTGTGTAGAAGTTTAGTGTTCCAAATTTAGCTCTACGATATAAAGCAAACCAAATCAAAATCGGTCTAGAAATGAAGGAGAAGAAGCCTTTTTTGTGATTTCGAATAAATTTGCATAAATTAGCATAGATAATGAATTTCACGATTCTGTGTAGAAATTTTAAATCCCCCTCCTAGCCCTATCATATGAAACAATCAGAATCAAAATCGGTTGAAAAATAACGAAGAAGAAGCATTTTGAAAATCTTGATGTTGATGCCACAACATAGTCTAAGTTTGTTGACCTTAAATGACCTTTGACCTTAACTTAGTGACCTGAAATTCTACTAACATGATTGGGGAGACTTGATAACCCTATAGTCCAAGTTTCATTGACTAAGAACTTATACTTTCAAAATTATATCAAAAATTCAAAAACTTAACCTTAGGTTAAGTTTTCAATGATGATGCTACAACATAGTCCAAGTCTGTTGACCTGAAATGACCTTTGACCTTGACTTTGTGATCTGAAATTCTACTCACATGATTGGGGATACTTGATTACCCTATAGTCAAAGTTTCATTGACTAAGAACTTATACTTTCAAAATTATATCAAAAATTCAAAAACTTAACCTTAGGTTAAGTTTTTGATGTTGACGCCGCCGCCGCCGTCGCCGTCGCCGTCGCCGTCGCCGCCGTCACCGGAAAAGCGGCGCCTATGTCTCGCTTTTTTGCTACGCAGGCGAGACAAAAAGGAAAGGAAGCGTTTGATTTTGCTTCACATTTTTAGGCCATAATTGGAGTGACAGAATTACATGTTCCTTAATTTTCTGGCTATCAAATGAGAAATTAATTTTTCAGCTCTATTCATCTGTGGCTATATTTTATTCTTTTGAAGGCAAATGAAATTAGAGCAAAGACTTACAATAACAATGGTTTTATTCGTGTTGCTATATTTTGTAGGGGATCGTATCAGTGTCATCCTCGAATATGGATTTGAAGAGCTGGTATCTGGCGCTGTATCGGGGAACACTCAGGTGATCATCAACGACATCAAGAGACACTGGAACGAAGACGATGTCGAAAGAAGACGAATGGTGGTCATGTTCATTGCTGCACATCGAGGGTATCATTACCTAATTGATAAGTAGGTACACCTTGTGCAAGCAAGCTGGATATATAGACTGTTTTCTTTTTTCACTCACTTTGGACATCCGTAATTTCCAAACCAACTGTGCATCATACATGGGTGTTGATCCGTAACTGATACCTATTCATCAGGGGGGATGATCTATTCATTCATCCCCCCCTGATGAATAGGTATTACGTAAGGATCGACACCCATGGCATCATAGATTCTTTAACTTACAATTACTCTCCCATGCATTGTATCCAGATCATTTTAAATTAATAGGGGAGGAATTTTGGGGCAAGATACTGGCAAGTTTGCTGGAAAATTCCCCCAAAAGACAAAAGAAGGGGTTCTCAATTTTCAATTTGCCTACAAAAGCTAAAAATTAAAATTTTACTGACAGCTGTTAGAGACTTTTCCGAACGTTACATTGAATTGAGGTATCGGACATTATAGTGGTTGTTTAAAGGTAAAGACCAGTTTTAGAAACGCCCTCTCTCAAAAATGAAATGGAAGCTCCTATTATCAATCATGTGAAAGAATATATTTTGACTAACACGTGATGATAGAAATTTTGCCGAGAAACCGCCTACTAATTGATATATTTGGTAAATTATTATATCTATTTGGACCTGATAGATATCTATTTGGACCTGATAGATATCGCGCACGTGTCGCGTAGTCATCTTTCTGTGTACAGTGATTGTAACTTTACCAAGACTGGGCCAAATTTCTTATCAGTTTGATGATTCCAGAACCTTGCAGTACACACCAATACTTATATGCTAGATGATCAACCTTTTTTGATCGATTCCACAACGTTTCTTTCACAATGCAATCGCATGACCATAACTGGTCTTTATCTTTAACAACATTACCATGTTGATTTACAGGATGCTAACTGATGGTGCTCATCCGGACTCGGTGACACCTTCAGGTCGCACGGCTCTTCACATTGCATGTGCTTTGGGGAATGGTGGGTGTATAGATACCCTCCTACAACATGGAGCTAACACTACCCTCAAGGTAAATGATATGCCTTAATCAGTTCAAGAACAGTCTTGTGAATCTTTGGTCAACTTGGAAATTCCCATGTGTGGAATATTAATAATAATAATACTCAGTTTTTATATAGCGCTTATTAGAATTACTAGGCATTTCCAAGCTTGGAGATTATTACCCCGGCTTTAGCTGTGCTGCCATTGCGGCACTCTAGCATTTCAAAGAATTAATTCCTGCCAGGTACCCATTTACATCACCTGGGTTGAGTGTGGCAAATGTAGATCAATGTCTTGCAAAAGGACATTAGTGCCGCGGCGGGTCTCGAACCGCGGACTTTGTGATCGACAGTCCGGCACCTCTACACCTCAATGGATACGTCACCCGAAACAAATTACGAGAATATCATTTTAGGGATCTATTTTAAAGTTTTTGGGGATTTTCATATCAGCTTCTTCCAGCTACATGAAAATAATAATTTCCCATAACAAAACGAAAGTTCGTGGAAAAGTTATATTGCCTCCCTAGTTAGTGACGTTATTCAGGATATATAGTTAGTTAGATTTTTTTTTAGTGATTGATGCCGCATAGATATTTTAACATGACGTGATTTTTATGGCTTTTGTTAGGGTTGAGTGGGTCTGGCAATTTTAATAATATTGTTTTGTAATCGGCGAGATGTTTCTTTATGTTCTAGTGGTATTTTGAAACCGTGGAATGTTAAAAGCGCTAAAAATGCAAATATACATGATCACTTTTTAACATGTTTAAAGAGCCTCTTATATCTTTCCCATTTTGCATCTTTTAAGGATGCGAATAACAAGACTCCAACTCAATTAGCCTTCAGTTGCGGCCAGCAGGAAGCTGAACGAAGAATGGTCTTGTACGAGAGGGCTCGATCCCGTCAAACCAGACGTCTAAGTAAGCACGATGATTGGCTGCAAACCTTACCGACGAATAAAGAAATTCCGTCATCAACCACCGCCTCATCCTCATCGTCGTCATGGTCTCGTTCACCGAGGTTCCCCGTCTCTCGTCTAGCGAGGAGCGTCACGCCGACACTAGCCTTACAGGAGTTATCACTATCTCCGGCACCAGGTAGGCCTGCAGAAACTTTTTTTTTCATTCTTCATTCTTCATTGAAGACTGTAAGAGATGTGGAGCAATAATATGATCTTTTACACCTTTTACACCGATCATAATTATCAACATCACTTTCCGCAAAAAAAGTGGCTCTGATTCGAAACAGTCAGTTGTAGGCCAAGACAGAGAGCTAACCACACGTGGGGTGTTTCACAAAGATCCTAAGTTGAACTTATCTCTAAGTTGGACTTAACAATTATGGAAAGCCGTTAGCGTCTTTGAAAATATTTTGTAAAAGTTATTTTAAAAGGCATAAAATGTTGATTCAAATCATTTATATCTTCTATTATCAAGGAGATTTCATGTTCTTGATGTGGAATTTATAAAAAGGTTAAAATACTTGATTTTTCGCTTTTCAATATATTCTTTTTTTAAGGCTGCGAATGGCTTTCCACGATATTAAGTCCAATTTAGAGTCAAGTTCGACTTAGGATCTTTGTGAAACACCCCCCAGTAGACCAAATTTAGACCATCTCCTTAGACTCACTTTGACCACTTTTATTCCATAAAGGTCCAGAGTTGATGGTGAAGTCACTGGGTGGAGCGATAGAGACGAAAAAAGCCTTCAACAAGTTTTCTGTTCGGAGGTTGACCCAAGCCGACCTTGAAGGATTCAGCCAGAGCAGTGAGAGCAGTGATGATTCGGAGCCCGCCAAAGAAGAAGATCTGCCGACCTTCGATGACCATGAGTCCAACCATGCTGGTGACAAGGACGAAGATAATGTGGTAAGCGTCCTAAACATGGATCCATAAAACTGAAAGAAGATCAATTTGATAGTAGTATTAAAGGTATAGTCTTGACGGGAGTACTGTAGGCTTATGATCTTTGTTTTGTTCGCAGAAATTGATGTATACTTTTACAAATAAGTAAACATCGGTACTTTCAGAAGAATTGCTGCAAATCCACTCCATGTCTATAAGTTCATAGATACGGGAAATCATCATAATATTTCAGTCAGTCTCTGAGTGTTTTTAAAGGTGTGAAACGGAATACTGTTAAGGGTCGATATTTAATTTGCAAATGTTTTACGACTAGAAGATCTCATTCTGAACTTGCAAAATCTTTAAAATTCTCATTCATTACAGTGAGTGTAAGGTTACAGATTGTCATCACAATATTCCAAACTTCATATGATCATCTTTACAGATGCTCGATACCATACCAACGTCGAGTCCGGACGACACCCTTTCCACAGTCACCATGCTGTCGTTAACACCTTCGCCCCGGCCACCGGCCATACGACCGCCACATGTTCTTCCTTCAAGGACGACGGCATGGCAACAAGAAACACGGAAAGTCCGCTTCGAAGACCCAACGAAAGCCCGATTCGAAGACCCAACGAAAGCCGCAAATACAACCCCGTCTGAGAGGCCAAGAGCACGTTCGGCTCCGCCCAGGAGATCAGTGAACATGTTGTCTCTAGTATTGGACTCAGAATCAACACATCGAAGGTAATACGATGAAACTAAACTTACTGTCGAGATCTTTAAAATTACCCTATAGTGATAGTCTAATCAAAGTGATATGTGTATCACTAAAGAACCATTGAGCATGAGGAACTTTCGATAAAGATCAATGCCCACTTTATTCATCACGATACTAGGCCAACGTAACGTCCTATTAAATCTATAGCTCTTGAACAAATTTGTTTTCACGCAAGCTTTACAAGTCCTCATAAAGCAGATCTTATTAATACAACAAAGCTTTATACATTTTGTGATGTTTATTTTGAGTAAATTCATTTTACATTTGATTGAACCACTGACAATATTTCTATGTTCTATTATTTGCAGCACTGACAATGGGCCAGACTCTGGATTGGGTCTCAGCGGTGGAGACAGTGAGCAGCTATCCCACATCAGCAATGGAATAAAGTGCAATATACCTATCACCCCTCCTCGCAACAAACCACGAGCATCGTCAGCAAGACTTCGAAGCCCGCGGTACAACCCCCGACACCCTAATGACCGCTATGGTCGGGACGAAATATTGGACACGAGAAAGATCAAAGATATTCAGGCATCCTTAGAATTAAGCGTCGGTCTGCGTGAGACCACCGATCAACCGCTTCTGTCAAACGGTCAAAGAAAGGCCACACCGGAAGAGAATAATGAAGCCTTTGATAATTGGTTGGGAGGGAAGGTACAGGGCGCGAAAGACAGGAAACTCTTGAACAATGTCCAGAAGATGTTGGATGAAGCATTTGGTAGAGCAGATGAGGAGATTAAAAGACAAGAGGAGAAGCGACCAAAGATAACTGGACAATCTTATGAGGATTGGAAGAAACAGAAAGATGAAGAGATACGGAACAAGAAAAAGGTGGTATTGGAGAAGCGAAGGCAGCAGGAAGAAGCGCGAAGACTTCAAGCATCCATTGATGCTGAGAATGAACTCCTAATTAAGGCGTGGATCGCTCAAAAGGGTGAAACGGAGAAGAAAAAGAAGCTGAACGAAATGAAAGAAAAGAAAGAAAAACAGAGGAAAGTGGCCGAACAACAGATCGCGGCAGAGAGTGCCTTCAGCAAATGGAGACTCAACAAGGAATGGGAGGAGCTCGTCAGGTTAAGAGAAGGGAAAGAATTCTTTGATCCTGCTTTAAAGGCAACCAGAGCGAGTGTAAAACGATCAGCAAGAAAGCGAATGCAATCTGGAGGACGTAGATCTAGTAACAAGACGAACTTGAAATATGGCTCGTAGGAATTAGATGATCGTGCCGACATTCTCTTCAATCATCGACCTTTAAACCTTGCCAAATCTTATTTCACCGTGCAGTGCCTTTCGTTAAATGTGAATCACATTGCATCTGACATGTGTTTTATGTAATATATTTTGGTACATCTATCCCGATAATCATTCCATTTGGATGCAATATAGATGATTAAATTTTAAAGATGCAATCTTATTTTATGGTGTGTTGCACAACACAGTGTTTTTTTACAACAGAATGTCTATATGGTTAGATCTGGTCTAATTCTCTTATAATTTGACAGCCTAGATGTATGGCGACAGCAAAACATTTTCTATGCACATGGCCTCTCAATGAAGAATACACACATGACAGAAAAAAAATTGTTGTGAGTGTAATATAACATGTTGCAAAGAGCTTTTCAGATCTCATTCTTAAACTAGTGCTAAGCGATTGTATTATTATAATTTGTGATTTAGACCATTATTCTGGGATTCGATCTTACTGCCAAAGGATTAGTAATTTATATGTGTTTTGTTGAGCACGGGTAAAGAGTTCACTTCGTTATGGACATTTGTAGTATAGGTGAAAGAATTACACTTCGACTGAAAACCTAAAATAATTATGTTACAAGACAATGCTCTAAATTGATCCTTCCTCTTCCTTTCCTTGTTATCTTTCTTCTTCTTCTTCGTCTTCATCTCCTCATCGTCCTGCTGTTCAAAAGCCTCCATAGACCGAGGAGTCACCTCTCTCTCTCTCTCCCTCTCTCTCTCTTTCTCTCTCTCCCCCTCTCTGTCTCTCTCTCTCTCTCACACACACACACACACACACACACACACACCCAAACCTGTCTGTAAAGGCTACCTAATTAGGGAAACCTGGAACGTGGCCACTGTATAGACAGGTTCTATATAACACAATTCTTTCTCGAGGAAAGACAAATGAATGACCACTATAACCAGGTGTGTTTTATACAGAGGTAGTTATTAAGACAGGTTTGAGTGTATTTACTTTGAAATAAAACATGTTATCAATATTTTAACTGCAATCTCTGTGATGATGCATAATGTTTGCAATAAAGATTCTTTAAGAAAGTCAATAAGTTACTTCATTTCTGTCTCATTGCTAATTTTGTCGATGTCCATATATCTCGTCAATTTGACTTTATTCATTTATTTTCCCCCGACCCCCTTTGATGTCGATTCCTTACATTCACAATGAAACTACAAACATCTTTGTCTGATGTACCAACAAAAGTAATGGAAAACTATATTCAAAAGTAAAAGTGTACAAAATATTTTCTGTATCCATTCATTTCTGCCGCTCGCCCCAAACAACATTTTTATTCCATACTCCCTTGGTCCACTTAATTTGACCATCTCCTTTAGTTTTAGAAAGCCAAACTATTTGTTCATTTTTACACAGAAAACGTGGTACATACATATTCCTGAAGACAAAAAAATTGATGTCGGTCGGTAAATTTTTGGTGGTCCACCTCCCCCCTCCTCCCACACGCACACACGCACAAACTCAAATAACCTGGACACGCTACCGCCCTTTTCCCCAGCATTCTTCCAGGGCCAAGCCCCCCTTCCATACCAGGATGGTGAAAAAAATAAACGTACTATAAATCCTAATGCCCTAGCTTAAGAATGTGAATTCCATCCATAACTCATTCCCAAAACAGTTTCAACAAAACTTCAAGAACAAATAAAATAACATAAAGAATGATTAAATAAATAAATGAATGAATTTATTGATAAATAAATATCATATTATACATGTATTCATAAAGACACTATTAAGATAGATATTATCATGACATAAAGTGATAGGTAAGTAATAAACAAATGGAATTAATTTTTGCTTATATATGAAAGCCACAGTCACTGCCGGTTCCGTTTAACCCTAATGAGGCCGGAGGAGGGCCCACAATGGTATCAGAAACCCTCCAAATACCCCGGCCTCGTTAGGGTTAAGAGAGGGGTAGGCCTACGTTTGATATAATGGCTTTCATTTTCCGGAGATTGGAAGGGTCGTCATGCGCCCGAAATGTATTCTTTGGGCCCCAAAGAAGACATTTTATTTTAGGAAAAAATAATACAAATCCTGATCGTGATGCGAATTCGAAGTTAATAAATTTATATATACATCTTTTAGTGTCACAGAAAAAGTTGGCAAGCATTTGATGAATTTGTGTATGCCCGTTGATAAAATAACAGTAAATTTAAGCAAATATTTGATAACAAGAAAAATACATGAACACAAATAATATTAATGCATTAGTCACCTTGACATGAACTAAATAAAAATGAAATGCCAAATCAACACTAAATCTTATGTTCTTTAATTAGCTCCCTCTCAAGGTCAAGATATTAATTTATCTATAAAACAATGTTTCTTGACTAAAATCGACCGATTGGCTCTTCCCGATAATTCCCGTTTGGAAATTATATATCACAACTGCATATTCTGAGATTTTCATGGTCGCAGTTACCATGGTATGGCCGTAGGCGCTATTTGAAATTTACCAATATATTACTGGGAACACCGGTACATCTTGTAATTCAATTTTTCTCGAATGCAGAAGTGTTCTAGGGACTAAATTTTGTAGTGCTTATAATTCATCCACAGGGGCATCAAAATATATCAAAATGGTAAAAGATCACTATCCAGCCAATTTTCAAAATTTCCCCAAACTTTTATTACCTTTAAGAGTCAGTTTATGTTTATTGCACTTTATATTGGGGCGGGTAATAAATTGCGCCTTTCCCCACTTTCTCTATCTTTTTTTTTTGCGCTTCTCTTTTTTTTTTACACGCTTCAAAATAATACCGCCCATGGCACATACCCCCTCTGCCACCGAAGACACGCCACTAACTGGGAAAACCCAAACACAATAACATAAAACAAGTTTATTTTGTAAGCAAGCGTCGGCATTTCGTTAATTTGAAGTGTGGAATTGGGCTAGGACAAATTATTGATCGTGTAGTGAGTAGTCCAGTAGATGGTACCATATATACCATGTACATGACCTGGAAAAGTACATTTTTTGTTGTTGATTTGTGTTCTAGATGGGTATTGAATTAAATTCAACTTGGTTGCCAGCTTGGCAACCTTGGGCAACTTTTTAATAGCCATATTAGCACAATCATCTATTGGATTAAGATTAGCAACATTATTACATATTGCACATAATATATGCTAATTAGATTATTATGCTAATTAGGCTAATATACTACATCTACATGGAAAATCTTCTCATGAATTAATTATTAGTCTTTCAAAAGTGATTTACAATGTTGTATTGCACCATTCTTAGGCTTTATAGATAAACAATGACAATGAAGCCCATATTGTATGCTTATTAGCTCATTATGCTAAATATGCTATTTAAGACAATTGCATTACTTGGAATCGAAAACTGGTGTCATAAATGAGTTCCTCGTCATAGAAAACCCTTGAAAAGTCGTATTATCCATGTTTTCAGCCTGAGATTAGCAACATTATTACATATTGCACATAATGCTAATTATGATTATGCTAGTATGGCTATTACAAAAGTTGCCCAAGGTTGCCAAGCTGGCAACCAAGCTGAATTTACTTCAATACCCATCTAGAACACAAATTAAAAAAAAAACAACCTTGTACTTAACAACTTTTCCAGGTCTGAAAAACTTCTAAAGGAGCCGTAAATCCTCAACCAGTGTAATGAGAAGACAATTGTTTGTAACCGTTAAGAAAATAACTGAAAAGAGGAGGGAAATCATGCTGATTCACCAACATAGACAGAATAAACAAAATGATCGCACCTAAAGAACCTGTGAGGTATAGACTACAACGCCTACGCATGTGGAAATCCCCAGTCTTCTTGAAATACATATTCATACACGTCGTCTGAAAAAGAACAAACAATAATGTTCCCAACTCATTGTTGACGTAGCGAGTAGCAATATTTTGGGGCACGGTTATTAACCATACAGATGGCAACGGTTACGTTTTGTAGGTTGGAACTGTCCTTACTTACGTGCTTTATTTAAAAGTTCTTCATGGATCTCATAATAATTACTTCGCTATTACAAACGAGTTATCATTGTTATTATCATCATCATGAACATCTTCATCATCATTATTTTTATTATTACTCCTGGACTTTTTATCATTAATATAATCAGGTGAACTGTAGAAAAGAGAACTTGATTTGGGATTGAAACTAAAAACTCACGTTGTACGCTCTGCTGTCATGTCATGAGTGCTTACTTTACGGATGTTTGGTTTCACAAATTGATTCAACATTTTTGCATAGTCTCATATACACATTTCCGTGTAAAGTGCAATTAGTGCCTTTCAACAAGACTGAGTCAATTTCCTATTATTTTTATGAGTTTAAAATCTCAAAGTAAGCATTAATGTCTATGGGCGCGTTCATGCTTGATTTTGAAGGCAGAATGAGCGATTTGTAACGATCATCGTAAACGCTCATCGTAATCGCAGTTCCACGGTGCACTGTTCATGCTCACTTCTCCAGGCAATTCTCCTTGGGTGGCCTTCAGCTGGATTCGCAAACCTGTGTGCGCATGCTACGTAGACCCACTAGAGGTCAGTGCGTTCACCCCATTTAAACGCGTTTACAAATTGTAAACGCATCTTTTTGTGAGTTTACGATCGGCGATCGTGATCGCCGTTTTTCGGTGATTCTACAAAAGTGAGCATGAACGCAATCGTGTTTTAAACTAAACGCGTAACAGATGCCTGATTCTGGCCGTCAAAATCAAGCATGAACGCGCCCTATGTGATACAGAATCAATATTTTCCACTCGCTTCCAGGTTACAATGCAACTTAAAATGGCTTTTGTTTACCTCTTTATACTCATTGTGAGAATATGAATTATTCTTGATAGATAAAGTTTATATATTCTCATAATTTTATTCATTAAACTTAAGACTCAGAGAATTTGATAAATAAAGTTCCGAGAAGGTATAAACTTTATATATAAAGTATAAACCATGCAGATTGTCACAAGCATTTCATGAAAAGAGGCAAGAAAATATCATTCCAACTCACAGGTAACCCTGTAAATTCGCCATTTATACTGGTATACACCCAGATACAGTGACCTTTGTCATCATTAAGGGAAAGTCCACCCTGAAATTAAGTTAGTTTTAATAGGAGTAGAAAAATGAGAGAAACAAGTCAGTGAAAGTTTGAGCAAATTCCGATTAAAAATAAGGAAGTTAGGATTTTTGAAGTTGTGATCAATCAAACACAAATTGGCAACTCTATGACGTATCATGCGAGCTCAACTTCCATTTGCTCAGTACCAAAAAAATCTAAAATTTTCATTTTCCCTCCAGAAAAATTTCAACCGTACATGCACCCTAAATATAATGATTGCAAATATGTTTCTATACTCCCCCTGCAAGGAACAAATATATATTCCATCATCAATTTTATGGAATATTATGCACAAAGCAAATGAAGGAGAGCTCGTATAATAAGTCACAGAGTTGCCAATTTGTATTTGACTGATCACAACTTCAATAATTCATAACTTTCTTATTTTCATTCAGAATTTGCTCAAACTTTCACTCACCTGATTTTCTTATTATTCTGCCTCTATCGAAACAAACTTATTTTGGGGGTGGACTTTCCCTTTAACATTTTATTTCTTTACACACGTTTACTTCCTCCTCCATATTCCATGCCATACACACCGATGCAGCATTGCAACATACAAGACCAAACCTAGCTGTTTTCGATACACACAAATGTGGGAATT